CTTGCCCCGGAGCAGCCCGTTGGGTCCAATGACTCTGTCAAAGATGTGCTGTCCCACGTGAGCGTCCACAGCCGACAGAGGGTCATCCAACAGGTAGATGTCGGACTTCCTGTAGACGGCTCGTGCCAGACTGATCCTCTGCCTCTGTCCCCCAGACAGGTTCAGGCCCTGGGCAACGGGAGCGAGACAGCATCCCTCAGGCATCCACAGACACACGTGCAGATATAAACTAGATCTCACTAGATCTCACTTTAGTTTTAGGCTTTACTGTTGTGCATGCAGAGCTCACCTGGCGCCCCCTGGAGGCTGCTGTGATGCTGCAGGACACAGGACACAGAGAAGGGACACTTTTGTCCTGAGGGCCGCTAACCCTCTTCATATTGTTTTAGTTTGGTGACTCTACTCCCTGAGCTGCACTTTTTGTTTGAATTTAAGCTTTCTCTCAAGTATCTCTCTTCTGTTATAAGTATCTCTTCTGTTGTAGTTTCCTGCTCCGTATGCTTAAATTGGGACAAATAAAGTGATCTTGACTTGAAACTAAGACAGCTGAGACTAGAAGTTATAGCAGCTAATCTGCTACTGATGTTGTGCTCTGACCTTCTCCCCTATTTCCGAACTGTCACCTGCAGGCAGCAGGTCCAGGTCGGGCAGCAGAGCACAAGCCTCCAGCACACGGTGGTACCAGCTCTCTGAGCGAGGAGCTCCAAACAAGATGTTCTCCTTCACCGAGGCGTTCAGCGTCCAGGCCTGCTGTGGGACCAAAGCCACCGATCCCTGCAACACAAGCTCAGTGTGAACACATCTCAGACTAACAAACTCAACACTTAAGCTTTGTTAGGTCATCAGGAAAACATGACCTATCAGTGTCCCCAGATAGATTTTTACTGATAACAACTGTAATGCTAATTTATTCCTCCATCCATCCATCCATTTTCTTCTGCTTATCTGGGGCCGGGTCGCGGTGGCAGCAGTCTAAGCAGGGACTCCCAGACTTCCTTCACCCCAGACACATCCTCCAGCTTCTCCGGGGGAACCCCGAGGCGTTCCCAGGCCAGCCAAGAGACATAGTCCCTCCAGCGTGTCCTGGGTCTTCCCCGGGGCCTCCTCCCAGTGGGACATGCCTGGAACACCTCCCGAGGGAGGCGCCCAGGAGGCATCCGGAACAGATGCCCGAGCCACCTCAACTGGCTCTTCTCGACGTGGAGGAGCAGCGGCTCTACTCCGAGCTCCTCCCGTGTGACTGAGCTCCTCACCCTATCTCTAAGGGAGCGCCCACCCACCCTGCGGAGGAAACTCATTTTGAGCGCTTGTATCCGTGATCTCGTCCTTTCGGTCACTACCCAGAGCTCATGACCATAGGTGAGAGTAGGAATGAAGACTGACTGGTAAATCGAGAGCTTCGCCTTTCGGCTCAGCTCCCGCTTCACCACAACGGTCCAATACAGCGACCGCATCACTGCCGAAGCTGCACCGATCGGCCTGTCAATCTCACGTTCCGTCCTTCCCTCATTCGTGAACAAGACCCCGAGATACTTGAACTCCTCCACTTGAGGCAAACACTCCCCACCCACCCGGAGAGGGCAAGTCACCTTTTTCCGGTCGAGAACCATGGCCTCGGACTTGGAAGAGCTGATCTTCATCCCAGCAGCTTCACACTCGGCTGCAAACCGCCCCAGTGCATGTTGAAAGTCCTGGTTTGATGGAGCCAACAGGACAACATCATCTGCGAACAACAGAGATGAGATCCTGTGGTCCCCAAACCGGACCCCCTCCGGCCCCTGACTGCGCCCAGAAATTCTGTCCATAAACACAATGAACTGAACCGGTGACAAAGGGCAGCCCTGGCGGAGTCCAACATGCACCGGGAACAGGTTTGACTTACTGCCGGCAATGCAAACACAGCTCCTGCTCCGGTCATACAGGGACTGGACAGCCCTTACCAAAGGGCCCCGGACCCCATACTCCCAGAGCACCCCCCACAGGACACCATGAGGGACACGGTTGAATGCCTTCTCCAAGTCCACAAAACACATGTGGACTGGTTGGGCAAACTCCCATGAACCTTCAAGCACCCGATGGAGAGTGTAGAGCTGGTCCAGTGTTCCACGGCCAGAACCAAAACCACACTGCTCCTCCTGAATCCGAGGTTCGACTATCGGCCGAATTCTCCTCTCCAGTACCCTGGCATAGACCTTACCGGGAAGGCTGAGAAGTGTGATCCCCCTATAGTTGGAACACACCCTCCGGTCCCCCTTCTTATACAGAGGGACCACCACCCCGGTTTGCCAGTCCAGAGGTACTGTCCCCGACCGCCACGCGATGTTGAAGAGGCGTGTCAGCCAAGACAGCCCTGCAACATCCAGAGACTTAAGGTACTCAGGACGGATCTCGTCCACCCCCGGAGCCTTGCCACCAAGGAGCTTTCCAACCACCTCAGTGACTTCGGCCAGGGTGATGGATGAGTCCGCCTCCAGGTCCCCAGCCTCGGCCTCCTCCTCGGAAGACATGACGGTGGGATTGAGGAGATCCTCAAAGTATTCCTTCCACTGCCGGACAACATCCCCAGTCGAGGTCAGCAGCTCTCCCCCCGCACTGTAAACAGTGTTGGTAAAGAACTGCTTCCCCCTCCTGAGGTGCCGGACAGTTTGCCAGAATCTCTTTGAGGCCGTCCAATAGTCCTCCTCCATGGCCTCCCCGAACTCCTCCGAGCTCCGAGTTTATGCCTCTTGGCACGCTTGGCCCACCGGTACCCATCAGCTGCCTCAGGAGTCCCACGAGCCAACAAGACCAGATAGGACTCCTTCTTCAGCTTGACGGCAACCCTTACTTCCGGTGTCCACCACCGGGTTCGGGGATTGCCGCCGCAACAGGCACCACAGACCTTACGCCCACAGTTACGAGCAGCCACATTGACAATAGAGGCCAAGAATGAAGCCCACTCAGACTCCATATCTCCAGCCTCCCCCGGAGGCTGAGAAATGGAGAGTCCAGCCCCTCTCAAGGAGTTGGGTTCCAGAGCCCAGACTGTGCGTGGAGGTGAGGCCGACTATATCTAGTCGGTTACGCTCAACCTCCCGCACAAGCTCAGGCTCCTTCCCCCCCAGCGAGGTGACATTTCATGTCCCCAGAGCTAGTTTCCATGTCCGGAGAACCGGTCGCTGAGGCCCCCGCCTTCGACTGCCGCCCAGATCTCTTTGCACCTCCCGCAGGTGGTGGGCCCACGGAAGGGCCCCGGTGACGCCATTCCGGGTGACATAACTGGCCTCTGATTAGAACTCATCATATGGGGCTTCTGAACCATTCTTCGTCTGATCCGTCCCCCAGGACCTGTTTGCCTTGGGTGACCCTACCAGGGGCATGAAGCCCCCGACAACATAGCTCCCGGGATCATTCGGGCACTCAAACCCCTCACCACGATAAGGTGACGGTTCAAGGAGGGGGGGTATTTATTCCTAAATACATAAATAGTGGACATGACATACCATTTATTTACATTATAATTTGGTGTTTTGATTCACAAGATGAGTATCCAGTCAGAAAGCAGAATGAGGGTCACATGACTGGCTCATTTAGTTTACCAGTTTCAATTCTGAAATCCAGTTAGTTTAAACTAAAAGTACTTACTCTGGTCCTGAGAGAGCCACTCCTCCTCTCCAGCTCCCCCAGGATGGCTGCCAGCAGAGAGGACTTCCCCGACCCAACCGGGCCCACCACAGCCACCAGGGCCCCCTGCTCCACCAGCACATTTATACTGCTCAGAGAGGGGGCGGAGCCAGTGGACCAGGAGAAGTATCCAGCATGCACTTCTACGGCTGGAGCATCTGAGGAGAGGACAGATGTGAGGAGGACTTACAGGGACACACAGTATGAGGACAGGAGAGGACAGTGTAAAGACTGCAGGAGAGACACTTTTGGGAGAGGGGCAGCAGACAGGAGAGGACAGCTCGTCGCACCTGCGCTGTACGCCAGTCTGGACACACTGTCTTCTTTCACCTCGTCTTGTTGTAGGAAGTGAGTGAGGCGTTTGAGAGAAACCAGGGCCTAAAGCAGAGGTCAGGAGGATTAGACTGGTGCACACTGCAGAGATATTCAGATACTGACAAAAACCAGAGGAGAGGTGTAATGAAGGAGTACAGAGGAGGACTCGGGTGTGCAGAGGAGGACTCGGGTGTGCAGAGGAGGACTCGGGTGTGCAGAGGAGGACTCGGGTGTGCAGAGGAGGACTCGGGTGTATAAATGTCGAAGCATAGGTTTGTTGTTTAATTAATTATTTCTATTTTGAGTGAAATTATTCATCAAATCATTTCTGATGTTTATTTGTCACCTTTCATTATATTTATAATATCTACAAATAAATGTCATTAAATAAAAACACACAGTACAAAGAAATCTCATGGACAAGTCTTATTGAAACCTGCCTGAAGAAATATTAAATATATGTAGTACCAATGTGCTAAAATATGGTTTTGTTAGAATATATATGTGTTTATTGTAGAAACGGGTGGTGTCGTAGCACAACCAGGACATACTGTGAAACTCAGCATGGGGTTCAGTGTCGACTATGTAGTGTTACTAACATTCTAATATTTAATGTAGTTAATGTAGCAGATGTAGTGTCCCAAATGCTGTCGAATTAGCCCTGTAAATACACCAGCTAGTAGTTTTAGTATTAGTTATACTAATGGTAAATGGACACATTTTTCCACCTTCCAGGCACTCAAAGTACTTTACAACAAGGAACCACTCACCCATTCACACACACATTCACACACCAGTGTACGCAGACACTAGGGGCAAGGTGGGTTAAGTGTCTTGCCCAAGGACACAACAACAGCATTCTTCTGTGGGAGCTGGAATCACACCAGCAACCTGTGGGTCAATGGATCTGACCGCTTAACCAATGATGTTTATGTCAAGAGTGGGATTTGAACCGCCAACCTTCAGATCAGTGCAGAGCTACTGCACTACTGTATTAAAGTTCAATAGCCGTAGCTGAATTGACAGGATGTACCAGACTGAATGATGGTCGTGGCACTGAAGAAACACTAATAAAAAATGTAATCACCAAAGCTGCAGATGATTGTTCAGTAACAGTAAACTTGAACGGACAAACAAAAGAGCAGCTTGTGATCCAGTGAACTCAGACGAAGGACATTCAGAAATTAGAAGAACTGTGCAGAAGCCCCAGCAGTTTTTTTTATTTTTTTATGTGATAACACAGAACCAGCTTCTGAACTAAGACAAACATCAACAATACAGTTAAATGATCGGCTGAATGAATGTGCCAAAAATCTTAATGATGGCAAACTTTTTTCGATAGTTCTTAAGCACAAACAGCACCATGAATGCTTCTATTTTAATGGGTCTATTTCTGAAATTAACCTATGCCAATATGTTGCATTTTATTTTAATTTTGCTCGTGTTTTTATTTCTACTTCCCATATGGTTATTGGGATACTTTTGGTTTCAAATTGCGAGAAAATGTAATGAATTTTGTGCAACATTAAATATATTTTGGTGTAAAATGTGTTGAATACCTGACATTGCATTACTGTATATGTATATATGTGCAATTTTGTGATTTATTCCATTAATTTTGATTAAGAACATGATGACTTACTGTCTTTTAGCTCATACTTATGTGAAATCAGTTGTTTGGTAGGCCATCTTGAAAAATGGCTGCCACGTTGAATATTTCAGGTGACTAATGGGTTTTTCTAAAAGAGCATGATGTTAGCTAAATGTATGAGAAATTTGATGCTTGTACCACAAACTGAACGATTCTTGTGGTTTGGAGACTTAATCTGCTCCACTAAGAGGTGCAGAGGAGGAGCTGCTGTGGCCTGTACCTGCGCCGCGGTGCTGATGGCGAACGGGAGCTGACTCAGTGGAGTCTTCAGGATGTTGATGAGAGCAGCAGACACAAAGATCTTCTGAGCATCCAGAACGTTACTCTGGTCCATCAGAACATAAACTGCAAACACGGTCAGCATCACCTGGAAAGACAGAGCGACGTCATCATATCATATTTTAGTGCTACAAATACAGTGAAGAAACATAACTATTGGCTATCGGCAAAAACACAGCAATGTCTGTGTGCTAAAATAGATCATAAGCTTCACTCATACGATGTGAAAATTGTTCACTTTATGTGACTTAAATGAATGGCTGTGGATGCATAAAGACATGTGCTGTTGACCAGTTTGTTGACCAAAAGCAAAAGCAATCAAGGCTATTAGGATTTGATCCAAACTGCATTCACAAGACTACACCTACACCTGCACAGGAGTTCATAAAACTACAATTTAAACAGAAATGCATAAGAAAACAGATCAACTCCCAAATCATCAGCTAACTCACACCACTTTCTCTGCTCTAGCCCCAAATCTTTATCATCTAAATCAGATAATAGGTCAGTAGGTCAATAGGTGAGCCCTGCCTTCCCTGGGGGCACCAAAGAGTCACTGGGGAAGTGCAACACACACTTAAAGAAAAAATAAAGATCCACATGCGTCCACATCTGCAGCAGTATTGATATCGGTAATCGTGCTTACGTGTTTAACTGTAAAATTATGTCGCCATGACAACCTACTCAGAGTTTGGAGCGTCACCTTTTTTGCCTCGTATACTCAACGTGGACCACAGACTAAACGAGGTCTAAACCAGGACTAAACCAGGACTACACCAGAACTAAACCAGGACTAAACTAGGACTAAACCAGGACTAAAACCAGATCTAAACCAGGTCTAAACCAGGACTAAACTAGGACTAAAATCAAAACTAAAACTAGGCCTAAACCAGGTCTAAATCAGTACTAAACCAGGACTAAACCAGAACTAAAACAGAACTAAAACCAGGAATAAACCAGGATTAAACCAGGACTAAAATCAGGGACTAAAACCAGGTCTAAACCCTCACCTAAATGAAATGATTGGTTGACTAATACACATTTTGGTTGGCTAAGACTCATCAACAGATTAAAGGACAAATGGACTAAAGGACTACAGTCCCAGACTGTAATGATAAGAGGTGGGAGGTGGGAAGCAGACAGCACATAGAGGCAGAGGGAGATACTGGACTCTTAGTTAATTTGTGCAGACTGATGTCAAAATGTGGGACATGAGACAACACCTGAGAAGATAAAGAGACACGCTGTGGCAATCCATAAAAGTCATCCTGGTGGAACGGATGGATCGCAGGTTTAGAGAGTCAGCAGAATGTTACTGGCTTAAAGGGGAAGAAGAGCCCCAAGGCTGAAGGCCACAGTTGCACACAGAGCGACTCTTTTTAACATAAAAGAAAACCCTTCATAATGATGATTGTATCTAAAATGTCAAAACAGCAGAAAGGAGAGAGCAGGCATCGTTGTTCACCAGGAAGGACGAGGAGGCAAAGGAGGCCAGAGACACACAGTAGAGGATCTGGGAGCTTCTCAGTGCGCCCAGTTCTCCCTCCCTCAGAGCCTCCACCCTCCTCTGGAACACCTCCTCCCAGGCGTAGAACTTCAGAATCTTCATCCCAGACACCATTTCCGTCATGAGTTTAATGCGGCCGTCCATGAAGGCCAGCTGCACCTCCTGAAAGAGCGTATACCACCACATGAAGACATTTCTATTGGTACTTTGCAGCTGATGTCATCAACATTCCCTGGGTGTGATGCAGCTTTATTAGACTTTAATCTGAGTTTTATTTTAACACCAGAAAGAGCTGACTTCATTGGAACTACAACAGGTGAGCTGATTTGTGATGTTAAACAAGTCTCTTTTCAGTGAGTTACTCCTACCTTTTTTTCTTTTTTGGAAAATCAAGCTCCTAAATAGGACCATGAACACGTATTGATCACAATGTATTGATCACAGCCTCATGAAAATATGCTGTTGAAATTCATTTTGTATTTTTACTTGAATTTTCAGACAATCTTAAAACTTTTTGACAGGGTTTGCTGATATGTGCATCGTGTCTCATTGGTATAGGGTGACCAGTCCCTATTTACCTGGGACAGTCCCCGTTTTGAGCCCTGTGTCCCCTGTCCCAGCAGATTTATCCAAAACCATTGGTTTTTCCCAGTATTATACAAGAAATGCCCCAGGTGTCGCTCTTTTTAACAAACTTGATCCCTGCCAACAGTAAAGAGAGACATACATTGACATCTGTTTAGGTAAAATACAGAACAGCTGCTTAAAAATGACCAAGACACAAAGAAAATGTGACCATACTAAAAAAAAATAAATAAATAAAGATAACTTGACTCGAATTTTAAAAGTTTTATCATGAGTTGAGTAAATTTCACTTGACATGTAAATGATCTGTAGTGGAACAAGACTTTTTGTACTTAAATCATTTCAACTTATACTGATATTGTTTTTTTTCCAGCGTATACTGACTCACTGACTGTTACTGCAGAACAATTTTCCTTAATTACGCATTCATTTCACAGTTTTATTAATACCAGTCATCCCAAATTGATGTGTTCCAGTTTTTGATTTTGAAAATCCGTACAACGGTTGCTGTTGAACATTCTACCATAGAGTTACACGTAGTATGAGGTCAAAACCCAAAGTATCAAAACCCACATTACGTTTCTGCTTGTGTACTAAAATTTCAAACTATTACAATATTAAGGAATAGTTATGATATTCGATACAGATTCTAGTACCATAATGATGAAAAAAAAAAAACAAAAAAACCCAGATACTTTGAAGTGACATCACGCTGGGGGTGTTTGAATATATTGTATGATGGAATCTTCATCAGTTACCGTAGTGCCACAGAATGCACAAGCCCTGCCAAAGAACTTTTAAGATAGTCCGAAAACTTTGAAAAAAAATACAAAACTGATATAAACTAACAATAACCAAAATATTGTGGTATCGTATCGTCAAAAGTCTCACAATAATATCGTGGGCTGTCACAATATATCGGATCATAAGTTTCTTTGCTTAAATACATGCTTTTATAGTAGCAACAGTCAATAAACTTAAGAACTACATATCTCGTGATTCATTTCAGTGCAGACAACATGAAGAAATGTGTTTTTTACTTGAATTCTTGGTATTATGACAGTAATAATTCACCTCAAAATCTTGTCAAGGTATTTTAAAAACAAAAAAGTGTCCCATCTTTAATTATTAGCTCTTCAAAATATGGCAATAAATATCGTACCATGAGATTCATATCTTGATGATATCGTATCATGAGACTTGGATATCGTCACATCCCTAATATAAACAACACAAAGGAGCCTGTGATCAATATGAGCATTCATGGTCATGTTTAAGAGTTTTATATTCAACAAAAAGGAAACTACAACTTCATGACATCAGAAGGTGTGAATTAGTTTGACTCATTTTTTCTCAACTTTTTGCTTTGAGTATTCTGTCATATTTTGTCCTTCTTATTACATTAACTTTAAATTATAAATGTAAAATGTTACGTCCCGACAGTTACTTTTACTTGCGTAGTAGTTTTCTCAAATACTTTTTTACTTTTACTAGCAATTTCCTTGGGCCACTATTTTGTAATTCTACTTGAGTAATATTTTGAAGTAACTTTACTGTTGCTTGAGAACAGTTTTGGCTACTCTACCACTCCTGTCATTGAAATAGATCAATTGGGTGCAGTATATTATGGTATAAAAGTGCAGAGTATCATCGTTGATATTTACAAGAGTACAACACTTCCATTATGTTCACAGTGACATCTGAGTAGTGTAAGTGCTGCGTCCTGTAGGGGGCACTACCTGTAGTTTAGTGCGCACGGTGGTGATGAAGCCGTTCAGAGGAAAGAGCAGAAGAACCACAGAGAGTCCAGCCAGAGCAGAGGGACCCAGCAACTGTGAGTCAACACAGCCCGTTACCATACACCAGTCACGTCTGACCAGCGTCACAACTGTGATTCCATTTGTCATTTATGTTTTAATAACAGTATTTGGTTCAAAGTTCATATTTTAAACACGCTCAGAAGAATTGACAAAAAAAATAAAATCCGAGCAGACAAACTAACAAGAAACATATTTCAGAACATGTTTGAGATCTAAACTACAGAGTTAGATGTTTCTATGCAGAAGAAAACTTCAAAAATTGCAGCCTTTGTGATCTGCTATGGCAAATGTGTCCTTAGGCAAGACACTTCACCCTCATTACCTAGTATCAAGTGGTGTGTGTGTAAATGTTGATGGATCAGCAGCCTTGCTTCCGTCAGTCTGCTCTAGGGCAGCTGTGGCTACAACAGAAGTTTTACACCACAGTGGAGAGTGAATGAATAAGAGCTTTGGCTGTCTTAAAAGAGGCTTTATAAATCCAATGGCTAATTCATTATTGGCACTACAAGATTCTTTCCACATAGCCATAATACTCAGACAAATATATACTCCAAACTAGTCTGGCTATATTTCAATTATAGGGAGTATTATACCTATGATTACATAGGCCAAGATAGCAAGGGCTGAGCAGGCAGTGAGTACAACACAGAAGTGCAATTTCTCCACCAATAACATGGTTCAAAACTCAGAAAAGTAGATTTTACACAAAATGCTCCATATTGTCATTAGCAGCAAATACTGTTTTTTGGCCACAGCAGCAAACTTACTCTAGCACAGTGTCTTGCTCAAGGATATAACATAAATATATCAAATACGTTTAAGCTGGTACCACCCTATCCTCGTGAACTGTGTTATAGCACATACCAGCCAGAGGAAGTAGAAGCAGAGAGCGATCTCCAGCGGAGCCGTCCAGATGCTGTTGATGTAGACCACTAGGTCCATGAGCTTCTGGACGTCTGCAGAAACCAGAGAGATGACCTCTCCAGCAGCACACTGTCTGCGCGCTCCACTGCTCATCACCAGGCACTGCAGGGGAACCAAGGAACCAAGCTCAGGAAATGCTCTTCAGCATATCCACAGGGTTGTAGAAGATCTGCTTGTGTCTGCTATATAGTGATAATTGATAACACCCATGAATCTTCATGTTATAATTTGAACATTTTTACATTTTAAATCACTATATTCATCTAAAAGGACGTCCACTGACTTGCCCGTGATGACGATGTTCATTTCGCCGTGAACATCATCACAACAACGCAGATCACACGAGTGACACTGCCATACTGATTTCTCAAAGCCTGATCCCGCATCAGTCGTAAAAACTGTTGTTGTGTCTTTAGGCAAGGCACTTCACCCTCATTGCCGAGTATGAAAGTGATGTGTGTGTGAGTGATGGTGGTGGTCGAAGGGGCCAGTGGTGCAGTAGTAGCTTATCACCACCGGGTGTGGAGTGAATGAATAATGCTCCGTAAAGCGTCTTAGAGTGTCCAAAAATTGCTGTATAAAACTGATTATTATTATCATTATTATTATTATTATTATTATTACTGCCACATCCTTCGCATCACTGAGGAGTGGACTTTGCACAGTGGCAGTGGGTCCATGCACTGAGACGCCGTGGCAGTGTAGTGTGCTCTACCTTCCTGTAGAGGAGGCCAGTGAGCGCAGTCTTCAGCCTCATGCCCACAGTGAAGCAGTGGTACATGTACTGGTGAAAGAGCAGAGACTGGAGGGAGGAGAGGAGGAAGAGGAGCACAGCAAACAGGATGCCCTTCCACATGGGGGCCGAAGAGTCACGCATGAAGCCCAGCAACAGACTGCAACACAAAACATGACATGTCGTGGTGAAAGAGCAGAGACTAGAGGGAGGAGAAGAAGAGAGGAGGAAGACGGGGGAGAGAAGGAAGAAAAGGAAGAAGAGGACAGGTACAGAGGAGAAGAAAAATAATGGTCCACATCTGTACACATCTGCAGCAGTACTGATTGTGCGTGCGTGTATTAGCTGTAAAATTATGTCACCATTCCGACAACCTACTCAGTGGACCGTACCTCTAAACCAGAACTAAAACCAGGACTAAACCAGAACTAAACCAGGTCTAAATCAGGACTAAAATCAGGGGTGCAGCAGGGCGGGGGAGCCTCCCCATTCACCCAATATGAAACCCCCAGCTGTAGAGTTTGGTGTGTGTAGGTGCTACTAGAAGCGATGATCCTTATGTCCCTATAAAACAAAGACACTATAGTCCCCTGTCCCTCACCTGAGCACTTGGGGCACAGTGAACATGGCGACGTCGTGTAGCAGCAGGCATACAGTCCCACACAGGAAGTACAGACCAAAGCTCTGAGCTGTGGTCCTCAGGAGGAGCAGGCTCAGGTTCTGCCTCAGCTCCTGACGCTGCAGGAGGTGGCTCTTCTCTGACACACCTCCACAGGGCTCCTCCAGTCCACGGCTGCAGCCAGGAGAACAGCAAACCATGATGATGCATCCAAAGGGAGGAGAGACTCAAAAATGAAACTGACACTAATTAAGCATTTTGAATTTGGTGATATGGTAGATATGTTAGCGGTTAATACTCCATAGAAATGTAATACTATACCCCCTCTTTAATATTTTTTACATTTCAATGACCTTTCAGTACGCTGGCCCACAGGGGCAAACGCACTGCAACAGCCCAATGCCAAACAGCTTCGAGTACAGAAATGATGCAAATTCACAAACTAACCTAAATTTAAATGAGGTACAAATGCAAATGAAAAAAAAAAGAGCTGCAAGAAACAAAGACAAATGTATCTTCATCAAATGTGCTGCAAATAGAGAAACAACGCAAAGCACAAAATGATGAAAACCAAGAAAACACCGAAAAACAAAAAATGCTGCATAAAAAGTCGCCACAACCTGCAGGGGGCGCTCTCAGTGTAACAGCTCAATGGAGAGAAACAGGATGGAGAGAGAGAAAGGCTCTGTCCATGAGAGAGACCAAAAACAGCCAACTGACGATAAATTACAGTCGGAACAAATTACTGTTACGCCTAATCGACATGCAAATATGTAGCCTTGTAAAGTCTGGTGTGAAATACAATCAAATAAACAACATGTGATGTACAGCGTTTTACAGAGACATTTTTATTCTTTATAAACACAGTATGTGAATATAATCAAATAAATAAAATACATTAAATACATTACCGTCACGTACATTGAGCTGGTACACTGACAGCGCCCCCTGCAGGTTGTGGTGACTCCTTATGCAGTGTTTTTCGTTTTCAGGTGTTTCTTGGTTTTTATCATTTTGCTCTTTGCATCATTTGTCTATTTATGGAGCATTTGATGATGATACATTTGTCTTTGTTTCTTGCAGCGTGATTTTTCCTTTGCCCCACATTCTTTGTTTGTGCCCCGTTTAAACTTGTGCTTGAGTTTGTGAATTTGCATCGTTTTTGTACTTGAAGCTGTTTCCTCTAAGAGATGCATTGGGCCGTTGCAGTGCTCTTTGCCCCCGTCGGCCACTGTATTTCAGAATGGATTCATAGCGTACAGAAGCTGACCAATAGGAGGAGTGGGTAGGGAAAAGTATCTGTCTGAGCACACAGGTGCATTGAATGTGAAAACTGTGAATGAGGACATGACGATTTCATATAACAGTAACAGATAACAGATGTGGCTTAGATCCTGATTTGATGAGCACCATAAGGCCCAGCTCTGGGGACATGTGCCTTACCTGCTCTCCTCCTCACGAGCTTTAGCCCACGTGTGCTCCACCTTGTGCATGATCTGTGCTGAAGTGTCCTGGAGCCTCAGAGCCCACAAGTCCATGGCCTGTAGGGGGCAGCGACAGCCCTTTAGCACCAGACTGAAATGCATACAAGACAAATTCCACTAGGCATGAAATCAATACATGTCAGAGGGTAAACTCTAGGGTACTAGAGCAGCAAAAATTTTAGTAAATTGTAATGAAGTAAAAGTACAGTTATATTCAGCAGACCTATTCTGTACTTTTAACCATGTTATAGATGTTTCCTTCTCATTTACTTTCTGAAGTTGCATTTGGAATGTTTGCACGTTTGAGCAATCTTCAATCAGTTATGGCAAAGGACAATTCAGTATGTCAAATGTTTATTTTGAATTTCTCCTTTGCCATGGATTCTATCTGGACGACTGAGGGATTCTACACACATTTTTAATCAATTATTTTTTTGCATATAAACTCCAGATTTCACTGCCACCGCTACACACTACTGTTCTGTACTTACTTCATACTACAATTTTATTTTCTTAATCAGTGATACACATAGGATTCAAATAACATAATTATCCACAGGTGTCGTAGATTATAACTTAACTAGTAGTAGTAGAGGTAGTAGTAGTAGTTTATTGTTTGTGGTTATTTTGCAGCACTACAAAAGAAAACAAAACATTTTTTTTTTTTTTTACTTCAGCCTAAATCCTTTGGATCATGACCGAAAGGGTTTAGGCTGATGCATAACCCCAATGACAATGGACACGTTTACATGATGTTTTTTGATTCCGATTTAATTATTCTGAATTAATTAATTCGGAATCAAATTATTCTCCTTTGAGTTTACATGCAAATAATAATTCCGAATTAAGGTTTACATGGAAAACATGTTAAATCAGCTTTATTTACTTCCGCCCAACGTCTGGGGATGGAGAAGGTTTCTGATTGGACAGAGACACGAATGTATTTACGCCAACCAGAAGAAAACACACACTTGAGCTGCTACCGTCTTTTTTGTCATCTCGGTTTGTTGTTCTGTGTGGGGATGTACCACTGTTCCCCAGTTTGTATGGGCTGGGGAACAGTCCGAACCCAGACTTCTGAACCAGCGGGAGCAGCTCTGGTTCAGGTTGGGCCCAGATGAGCTGGAGTGGGGAGTGGTGTTAGGAGCCTCGGCCTGAGAAGTGTTTTCCCTGGGGAAGAACTAAGCGCACAGAGGACGGATGCTCAACAACATATAACCAACCAAACAGAATTCTCGCTTCTGTCCGGATGTTTTGCACCACCTCAGTACCAGCCGCAGTCCTGGAGCACAGAGGACAGGAGCAGCCACAGCACATTCTCACTTTCGCCGCACGGGTCCACTGGTCTTACTCGCCCCCGTCTGGACCAGCACATGGAGGACGGAGCCTATGGACCTGTCTGACCAACCTGCTCAGAGGACGACACAAGACCAAGGACGAGCTGCGTGCTATGGTGAGTGCTTCTGTGTATTTACTGCTGTTACGTGATCTCAGAGCTTCTGCTCCGGGCTGATGTGGTGAGTTGTGTAAAGTTCTAGGCCACATGTTGCTGTTTTATGACCTCATGATGATAAGTTGGGATGAGGACGGCTCGCGGTGTTAACGGGGAACCTCAGTACCTTTAGCAATTACACAGGCACCGGGAAACAGAGATTCGGGGACACAAACATGATACAAACTTTTTTTCACCATGTTGCAGTGCGTCATCGCGTCAGAAGCGTGAGCTAACGTGCATGCGCTGAATGACCGGAATTATTTTTTAAGCGGATTTAAAACATTTTTTTATTTATTTATTTAATTTTTTTATTAATCAATGCTGGCAATACAAAATACATTGTGTCAACGGTGCAAATGTATGACTGTGTATGTACTTTTTTAACAATAAAATAAAATAATTTATTGTAATGGCTTGTTTAGGTTTAATGTGACGTAAGGATCTGTTAAATTGCAAAAAATCATGACGATATACATTGAACAAGACTTTTATATTTGAGAATTTGCATTTATGAATAAATTGATTGGTTAGAAATAAACAAGAATTATACAACAGTTCCTTTTTGTTTCAAAATGACTCCATATTTTATATCTTTATAAAGTTACGTTTGTTAAATCTGTGTCATATTCCACCATCCATATTTGGAATGAGGCCCAAAACTTTCTAATATGGCAACAATAAAAGAACAAATGTTCCACAGTTTCTATTTCACTGTTACATTCATGTCTCCATATTAAAACGTTTTCAAGAATTCATTACAGGGGTAAATATAATTTCAAATTTTAAAGTGAGTTTCTTTGGCTTTAGGGGAGATTGGAAATGAGAGATAATTAGTTCAATTTTTTTAATGATATAAACTGGAAAGTCTTTAAGTACATGAATTCTTTTTAATGGGAGATGACACAATTTGGTAGTAATAATGTTTCTTATTATTTTATTTGAACAGTTTTTGTCTTTAAATTCACATTCATCTCTGGTGAGTAAAGGGAATTTTGGTGTAATTTTATCGTATCTCAACATGCCACTAACTAGATTTAATAATTCTAATGGGAGAGCTTTGATGATTATATTGCCTTTTTCAGAATTGTAAATCATATTTCTTCATAAGATTTGCATGGTTAATAAGGTTCCCATTAGAATTTGTTAAATGTGAAATGGACCAAATCCCCTTTCTCCCCCAGTCCTCATAATAAATAGATTTTCTTTTGGAAAGAATACATCTGTTGTTCCAGATAGGTACATTATGTGGTGTGAAATTGTGTGTGTGTGTGTGTGCGTGTGCGTGTGTGTGTGTGTGTGCGTGTGCGTGTGTATGCCATCTTCCAGTTTAAAAGGACATGTTGGTGGAGTGTTGATAATCTGAGTGGTAATTTAGAGGTAGAGAAGTCACAGGTGAGCAGATACTCAATGCCACCACAGTCTAAGAACATTTTGGAAGGGATATGAAACCAGAACTTGTCTATATTATTTATAAAGTTTTGCAACCATTTTAATTTTAGCATTCCATTTACAGCTTCAGAAGCAATGACATTTAGACCACCATCTACCATTGGCTTTACTGCATCATTTTTTCTTATATAGTGATGTTTATTTTTCCATATAAAGTTGAACATTTACATGATCGCGGAATAAATTAATTCCACTTTAAAATCAGAATAAACCACCCACTTAATTCAGATTTGAGTTCAATTCCAAATAAGTTTAATTCTGAATAATCATTAGGAATTAAGCATTTACATGGTCTTTTTAAATCGGAATTAATTTGTATTCCGAATTAAATTATTTTTAATCGGAATTAAAGCTTTCGAGGCAAATGACAGAATTCCAAGAAAGAAATGTATTCACTCCATTATTTCATCTATATTTACAGTCATATTTTCTGATTTCTATTTTCTTTAAGCATTTCATATTTCTCTAGGGTAAAGTTATCTGGCCTTTCAAAGATATTCTTTGATACTGTCAAAATTTGCATATAAGGTACGACTGTTGAAGAGAATTATTGATAGGGTGTGTGTCTGGTTTGTTGTATAAGTTTGTGTCTTAATAGTACATTACACTCATCGTTAAAATGTTGATAGAAATTTGCATCAGGATCAACCTCATCTAATTGATTCAACTATATATTCAGTTATAGAGAAGACACAAGTACAACACACGCATCAAGAATCTCGGACTTCCAGTCACTGCGCAATTCATACTGGGAAGGATTTTCCAAAAAAGTGATCATCAAACCTCCATGTTTGTTTCCCAGTGGGATGTGTCTATTGACAAAGTCGATCTTTTCAAGTCTTTTGTACCATATCACTTTTGTTTCTGGTTCTGATATTGTCATATTTTAGTTTTGGGATTCAGACATTGTAATTGTGTGGTTGTTGGATCCTAACAGCGGAAAACAGCTCGAGAAATGTGTTTGTGAACTCCATAAATGCAAAAGTGAATCAGGTGTGTGTGACTGCAAACCTCTGTTCAAACTGTTTCTCTTCCCAACGGAATTGAAAAATAGTGAAAGGTGAAGGTGATGAGCAGGACTGATCCACAGGAAGAACCAAAAAGGAAACATTTGACTGACTAAATCATCCCAATTTTGCAGTGAACATTTTGTATGTGGAGCAACATCAAAGTGGGATCCCATTTGTTAATGGAGAGGAGCAGAAGACAAACAGACTGAGCTGCACATTCTTGTTCTTGTGGTTTTACAGCAACATCATGTCTTGGTCTCTTTGCAGTGGAAGGTGTTTCTTGGTGAACAGTTGGTGCCTTTCGCTTTGGCGTTGACTTTTTAAATCCATAACCAAGACTGAGTGACGGATCGGGCTTTTACTTTGATGGCGCTGCACATACAAAATATTTGCTACAAAATTGGGATGATTTAGTCAGTCAAAGGCTTCCTTTTTCATCTTTCCTGTGGATCAATCCTGCCCATCACCTTCACCTTTCACTATTTTTCAATTCCGTTGGGAAGAGAAACAGTTTGAACAGAGGTTTGCAGTCACACACACCTGATTAACTTTTTGCATTTATGGAGTTCACAATCACATTTCTCGAGCTGTTTTCCGCTGTTAGGATCCAACAACCACACAATTAACGATGTCCGAATCCCAAAACTAAAATATGACAATATCAGAAGCAGAAACAAAAGTGATATGGTTCAAAAGACTTGAAAAGATCGACTTTGACAATAGACACATCCCACTGGGAAACAAACATGGAGGTTTGATGCTCACTTTTTTGGAAAATCCTTCCCAGTATGAATTGTGCAATGACCAGAAGTCAGAGATTCTTGATGTGTGTATAGGTCTGCTTTCAGGAAGAGGCACACATTTAGTGATTAAAGAAATGGCTCAGTTAAGAGAAGATTTTACAGAGCTATAAAAAAAAACATGATGTAAAATAATGCACTGCAACATCACAATCGTGAAGTGACTTAGTACAGACAGCAAAAAAAAAATAAACAAAATAAACAGGGGTGAGAGGCTGGGGGTCTTTCAGAGTGTCAAAAGTGAAACTTATGATGTTGGAAACTTATAATTTGGAGAATAAAGCATTTTCAAAACAATAAAAGGTTACATGTTATGAGCAGTTAATACCTTATAGTAATGTAATCTCTCTGCATGTTTTAGTACAAAGATATTAAACTTTAACACAAAGACATGTCGTGGTTTTGTAGTTAATTTTACCTGCTGAACCAGAAGAAGAAGAACTGTGAGAGGAAAGAGGCGCCCTCTTCAGGACATTTCCTCTACAACAACAAACATTACAGATGAAGCTTGTTTCATTTCACTGGTTATTTTTCTATTATTTCTTTCTGTCTCCAACTCACCAGACAGGGGCGGGTTTTGCTGATGGGCTGGTGATCGGAGAAGCAGGTGAGGAGCATCTGAACAAACTGAAGCAGAACCACCAAGAAGAGCACTGTGAAGCGGACCGGGTCAGAAGAGAAGCTCTGAGGACCACACAACAGTACACTATAACACAGCTTCAGAAAGAATAATAATGCAGTCAAACGTTTGGACACACTTTCACTCAGTGTTTTTTTTTTTTTTTTTCCTTTATTCTCATGACTACTTCATGAACAGTGTTGGGAAGGTGACTTTTAAAATGTATTCCCTTACAGATTACAGATTACATAGCCCAAAATGTAGTTTGTAACGTAACCCATTAAATTACTTAAAATGAGTAACGTAATCTGAATACTTTGGATTACTTGATATTGTTATGCTTTTTAAAACTACATGAATGTACCAACCACATCCTGAAAATTCATGTTTGTTCTCTTCAAATTGTCTGTTGAGTCCAAGTCTCCATGAACAGATTTTATTTTACTGTAGAGAAGAAAAGATGAGGATCTGAACATAAGATGTTTTGTTTTATCTGCTAAAAGAAAATAAGAAGACCAGTCTTTACTTAAACATATTAAAAATATTATTGATAGAAAAACTGCCTGAAATTATGTTCACCTACTGTTAAGTGTCATACTGTTTAGACCTGGTTTAGATCTGGTTTAGTCCTAGTTTAGACCTGGTTTAGACCTGTTTTAGACCTGTTTTAAACCTGGTTTAGACCTGGTTTAGACCTGGTTTAGTCCTGGTTTAGACCTGGTTTAGACCTGGTTTAGACCTGGTTTGGAACTGGTTTAGTCCTAGTTTAGACCTGGTTTTAGTCCTGGTTTAGACCTGGTTTAGTCCTGGTTTAGTCCTAGTTTAGTCCTAGTTTAGACCTGGTTTAGACCTGGTTTAGTCCTAGTTTAGACCTGGTTTAGACCTGGTTTAGTCCTGGTTTAGACCTGGTTTAGTCCTAGTTTAGACCTGGTTTAGTTCTGGTTTCAGTTCTGGTTTTAGTCCTGGTTTAGTCCTGGTTTTAGTCCTGGTTTAGCCCAAAATGTGAAAACAGGAAAATACCGCCCTGTAATCCATTTATTTCAGCAAAGTAACTGTAATCCCGTTACCACTCACTGAAATAGTAACTGTAACTGAATACAGTTACTCATAATTTGTACTTTGATTATGTAACGCCGGTTCATGTAATCTGTTACTCCCGAACACTGTTCATGAAAAACTTCAATGGGTGGAGTGGTGGAAGTTTTTTTGTTTGTTTTTTGAGCCCAGTTTTTAACATCATATCAAGGGATTTTAAGCACCTAAGAAGAGAAGCATGTGCAGTTCAAAAGACACCAGTAAGAGACTCTTGGATGAAATCAAATCAAACTTTGTTTATAAAGCACTTTTCATACAAAAATGCAACACAAAGCGCTTAGCTGTTAAATGAAGTGATATGAGATGTTTGTTTTTTTCCTGTATCCATGGAGACCGAGAAAGCAGCTATCTATGCACCTCTAATGCTCAACAGGGGCTGTTAAATGGATTTACTTTTACTACATATGGCTTACTTTTACTACAACTACTGTTGCACTAGGTCAGGATGGCTGTGAAATATCATTTTTTTAATAATAACAGTATTATAACTAATCTTTTTACATTCTCATTGAAGGCATCAAAATCATGAATGAACTTTTTTGATCACTGCTTTGCATTTTTAATCCATGTATCATTCGTTCATTCGTTTTTCAATATAAAACCAAAAATAAGAAAACGAAAAAACAACAGTTTTCTTCGTTATTTGTCTCCAAAACCAAAATGAAAAAATGGATAACGATTCGTTTTTTCAGTTTTCGATTTTGTGTTTAAATGAAGAATGGAAAAAACGGATAACAGCCGTTTCCCGTTTACGTGACTTCCGTGACTGCGATGCCGAACTTTTGCACCGCATACGGACTGAACCGGGACTGATCCAGGTCCGAGACCAGAGCGGGACTGAGACCGGGACCAGACCGGGACCAGGGCGGACTCCGAGCCTCCACGGGGTCCGAGCCTCAGCTTCGAGCTCCGGCCCTGCCGTGGGCTCTGAGCCTCCGGTCTGGTCCCGGTCTGGTCCTGGTCTTGTCTCGGTTTCGGTCTCAGGCCCGCTCTGGTCCCGGTCTGGTCCCAGTCTCAGTAGCGCTTTGGTCCCGGTCTGGTCCCGGACCTGGTCCATTTGAACCAAAAGCTCTTAGTTCGATTCATTTTCGTTGGTGTGAAAGCGTCAGTCGGAGGCTTTGCACCACCTCGGAACCAGCCGTGGTTCTTGAGCGCGGAGGACCAGAGCCGCTCTGTCCCGGTCTCAGTCCTGCTCTGGTCTCGGTCTGGTCTCGGACCTGGATCCGTCCTGATTCAGTCCGTATGCGGTGAGACTGAGACCAGACCAAGACCAGAGCGGGCCTGAGACCGAGACCGAGACAAGACCAGGACCAGACCGGGACCAGACCAGGACGAGACCGGAGGCTCAGAGCCCACGGCAGGGCCGGAGCTCGAAGCTGAGGCTCGGACCCCGTGGAGGCTCGGAGTCCGCCCTGGTCCCGGTCTCAGTCCCGCTCTGGTCTCGGACCTGGATCAGTCCTGGTTCAGTCCGTATGCGGTGCAAAAGTCCGGCATCACAGTCACGAGAGTCACGTAAACGGAAAACGGCCGTTATCCGTTTTTTCCATTCTTCTTTTAAACACAAAATCGAAAACTGAAAAAAACGAATCATTATCCGTTTTTTCATTTTGGTTTTCGAGACAAATAACGAAGAAAACTGTTGTTTTTTCGTTTTCTTATTTTTGGTTTTATATTGAAAAACGAATGAACAAATGATACACGGATTATTTTTGACTTTTAACCCTGACATGGCCCAGCTGTGAAGTGGAGCCCATTTCAGAAGACTTCATCAAAAAGTTCACTGAGAAAAGGCCAGAAGTTTGCAGCACCATCAACAAACCAAAGAAGAAATACTTTGAAGAATGTTATAATAAATAGCTACACAGTTCCATACGTCTGGCTTCATATATTTGATGTCCTCAGTATGTAACAATACAGAACACTAGAAACACTGCAGGAGAAGGTGTGTCCAAACCAGGGCTACAAGATTAATTACAATCAAACTGAAATGTCAATTTTAATGGATTGGCAAATCACAACTGATATTTGTCCAGCTCATTCAGTCCTCGTCCAAACTTTTGACTGGAAAAGATGGAAGCGGACATGAAAACTTGTACCACAATGATACAAAACCTGTTCTACTAGTATAACTCATGTGAGCTGCACATCCAGCACATGGAGGGTGGTTTAAGGAGATACTAGTGACACAACAGTGCAGAACACGTCACATATGTGCTAACTACTCTGCCACACTTTCTGAGAATTCTCAAAGTACCGTATGATGGAGAGGCTCACCACACGTCTGAGAGGAGGCCCCAAACAAACACTGGACTCTTCACATGTTTCAGAGGTCAGAGCGGAATTACGGTAACAAGTATGCAAACAACAACTAGCATGCTAACTGCATACCAGCCTTACTTCCTATTTCGTGGTCTAATATTGAGCTGCTTTTACAATGTATCTATGTGGATCAGTGGAACTAGCCTGATTCATCAGCCAGTTTCACTTCATAGAAACCGTCTGACCTCACAGTGTTAGAATTTGTTTGCTCGATGGTAGGTGAGTACTTTTATCATTTAACCAATCAGTATTTAGTAGTCACATATGTAATACGCTGCTAACAGGGCTAACTGGTATATTCAACTTTTCTCAAATCCCGTAGGAAAAAGAACAATAACATCTTTCTCCTTGATGAAATTCACCAAACATTCTCTTTGTTCCGGCTTTAAATCCTCCATCTCGGGAATCAGGAAACACTGAATATATGACTCTTCACTGTGACTGATGGAACAGTGGAACACCATCATCTCATGCTTTTTATGTTACTCCAATAAACACTTCCTATTTTATGTTCTCCCAAACAACCAGGTTTTGATGGACAAAATAGTGAAAAAACAAAAAAACACCAGGATCTCCTAGAGCGGGTTAATACGAACAGTTTAAGACCAAAATGATGAGGCTCATAGCAGCAGTTACAGAGAGGGGGACAACAATCTTCCATTGTAAGTCAGTGGGTGCCAGAGTAAATATAGAAACTCAAAGAGCCGCATGTGAACTTCCTCTGCAGTGATTCTCCTTAACTACAATCCATTTATATATAAGGCCTATGAGCAGCGCCACTGTCGGCTGGACTTGGGACAGGTTTGAGTGTTACCTGGTGGATAATTTGCTCCACAGCTACCTTCAGAGGCACCACAGAGCAAAGAACCGTCAGCAGCCAGAACAAGAAGAGTAAGGATGGAGGAGCACACACCCTTCAGACGCTCCACTTGGATCACACACACACGGCCAGCACCTGTAAACAACAGCACCTGTCAGTCAGCACATCCGTCAAACATCATCACATCTGTCGTACACCACCTGTCACAGCACCTGTCAGTTATCACACAAGGTCATTCATCACTCATTCAATTGTCCATGTCCACCAGTGTCTCTTGTCAGACAGAAGCTAAACACACCCATTTATAACACAAAAATCCACATGGTCGGTTGAGCGTCTGTTTGAGGGCCAGATTAGGAGTCTGGTTGGGGGTGTGGTTGAGGGCCTGTTTGGGGACTTGGTTGGGGACCTGGTTGGGACCTGGTTGAGATTCAGTTTAGGGGCCTGGTTGGGGGCCTGGTTGAGATTCGGTTTAGGGGCCTGGTTGGGGGGTTGGTTGAGATTCAGTTTAGGGGCCTGGTTGGGGGGGGTTGGTTGAGATTCGCTTTAGGGGAATAATAGGGGGTGTGGTTGAAGATCTGTTTGGGGGCCTGGTTGGGGGTCTGGTTGGTGGGCTGGTAGAGAGTCCGTATGAAGGCCTATTTGGAGGCCAGTTTGGTGGACTAGTTCAGAGTCTGGTTGAAGGCCTGTCTGGGGGTCTGCTTGGTGGACTGGTTGAAGGCCTGTCTGGGGGCCTGTTTGGTGGACTGGTAGAGAGTCTGGTCGGGGGCCTGTTTTGGTGGACTGGTTGAGAGTCAGGATGAAGGCTTGTTTGGGGGCATGGTTGGGGGTCTACAGTCCCTGACAAAAGTCTTGTCGCTTATCCATTTTGTAGAAACAAATGTTTATAACCTGACTTTAAATTAATCGATTGGTTTTAGAAATGTCTCATATGAAGCTAAAACCCTCCCAAATTATGCTCCATATACTAAAATAAATTTGCTTCACTGAAGAAAGATTGATCATTTAATGAACACAGAAAGGTCAGATTTTGGCAAGACAAAAGTTTTGTCGCCTACAGAAAATTGAACAAATAATTTACTTCAAATACAAAAATATGTTGCATAACATCAGTGAATGAAGTAGTGGTGCTGTGAGATCCATATTTAATATCTTGTATGACTCCATGAGCTTGAAGGACACATCCATGCGGTTTAACAATGATTCATACAATTTGTTGATGAAGTCATCAGGAATAGCAAAGAAAGCGTCTTACATGCCTCCCAGAGTTCATCAAGATTCTTTGGTTTTGCCTTCCATGCTTCCTCTTTCATTCTACCCCAGACATGCTCAATGATGTTCATGTCTGGTGACTGGGCTGGCCAGTCCTGGAGCACCTTGATCTTCTTCACCTTGAGAAACTTTGATGTAGAGATAGAAGTATGTGATGGAGCACCATCCTGCTGCAAAATTTGACCCCTTTTTATGGTTGGGAATGTAAGAGGAGCTAATACTTCTTGATATTTTAGGATATTGATATTTACCTTCCACCCTGCAAATGTCTTGCACACCCCCATACTGGATGTAACCCCAGACCATGATTTTTCCACCACCAAACTTAACTGTTTTCTGGGTGAATCTTGGATCCATGCGGGCTCCAGTAGGTCTCCTGCAATATTTGCGGCGGCTGTGATGTAATTCAACTGAGGATTCATCTGAGAAATCCACCTTCTGCCACTTTTCCAGTGTCCATCCTTTTAACAGGCTGTGGGCCTTGGCAAATGCCACACGCTTTTTTAATTGCCTTTTGTTTAGTGCTGGTTTCTGTGCACTGATTCGACCATGGAGGCCATTTCGAGACAGAATTCTACAAACTGTTCAGGTTGACACAGGGACTTGAGGTGACCAGGCCTGGTGGAGTCTGCTGCAGTGGAAAAGGGGCCTTCGATTTTCGAATCAACAAACAGTCCTCCCAAGCAGTTGTCTTGCGGGGTCTGCTGGACCTGGACTTGTCAAAAACATCTCCAGTCATTTCAGATCTTTTTCTTATTCTTTGTACTTGACGCTGAGACACATTGAAGGTGTCACCACCTCAGCAGTGGATCTGGTCTTCAGCCTCTTGATAATTAACACTTTGGTCTCAGGGTGGATCTTAGGCATGTTGTCAGAGGTCAAGTTGCAGTTGATGTGAAGGTCTGGTGTGCTGGGGTTCTTTTTATACACATCCACTAATTGATTGATCAGTAACTGATCACAGGTGAGGCTGTAATCTAGGATTGGGTGCATCATATGACAAGGCGACAAAACTTTTGTCTTGCCAAAATCTGACCTTTCTGTGTTCATTAAATGATCAATCTTTCTTCAGTGAAGCAAATTTAGTTTAGTTTATTGAGCATAATTTGGGAGGGTTTTAGCTTTCATATGAGACATTTCTAAAACCAATCGATTAATTTAAAGTCAGGTTATAAGCTTTTGTTTCTACAAAATGGATAAGTGACAAGACTTTTGTCAGGGACTGTAGTCGAGTGTGCGGCTGAGAGTTTGGTTGGGGGCCAGAGTGGGAGGTTGGGTACTTACCAGTGAGATGATGTGGAGCAATGGGCCCAGTAGAAACACGACATTGTGGTGGGTCTCTTCTTTTACAGCATGGATGTAAAGGAGCTCCACCAAACAGCAGCACAGCAGGATGGCAACCACGGCCTGAAGACACCATCACATCAATTACCACGTGCACAGAGGACTCCCAGCTCGCTTAACACATGAATTTAAATGCCCTTTGCCCAAAAACCTGACAGACCAGTCCTTTTCCAGTCTACTGTAGGTCAAAGAACCCAATAGGTTTGAAGGGGAGGATACGAGATGTTCAGAAGCATCTAGTAATTAGGACAGCACAAATATATGCACTGAAGCTTTTGTAAGTTTCATTTTCATAAAGCAACATGTGCTCAGAGAGGCCAACATTTGTCCCCACTCCTGATCTAAAACAAGTGAGTACATGTCCAAACACATGTTTAATATTTGCCTGGCTGTTTCTTACCTTGTGCAGTTGAGTGCCTCCCCTAGTCTAGCACCTAGTGCCAGACTGCTGTTACATGCGACAGGTATCAAAGTACAGCTTCTCCAGACGTGATTCAAATCACAACACTTCAGTCATAGTTCCCTGGTTCATAGCACTTTGGTAAATCGATAACTGGACTGGGCCAGTTGTCCTGTGTTCCTGGTGCATGTAAATGTAGTGAGTGAGAAGAGCGTGCACTATCCTGCTCTTCGTCCAACTGTAAGCCAATTAGACTTAGTTTGCATCAAGTGTTATCTTTAAAAGTATTGAAAATTGGATAACAATTGATACTAAAAGTTGTATTAAACTGAATACATTGTGACCTTTCCTAAACAGTTTCACATTGAGTGTTATCAATGATGTAAGAGCACATGGAATAATAGAGTAATAGTATTATTTTGTGTTGAAACTTACAATATTTAGAGGTTTTAACATTGTCATCTATATCAAAATCGGTACAGAGAATATTCTTTAATATTGAAATCGAGATTCAAATTTTGGTATAGTGACATCATTACTCCAAATATATGCACATAAATCCTTCTAAACTACAGCTTTTGTACATTTGTAGAAATCCCTCTTTTCTGAACCTATTTTTAATTCCAGAGAAGGTGGAGGCCACAATCAGGTCAGGTGTGTTTTCAAAGAGGAGAAAAAGTATTATAACAATAGCTCTTTTGTAATACTTTGTTATAAAACAAAGAGAGATGGGATTAAGTCAAGTTTTAACTTTAAAGGGATTTATCTGGCTATTTTCTGACCTATATTATTTTTTTTCCTAAAAAAAAAAAAAAACAGACCTGGAATTGTGTTTGTTTCATTCACACATGTTTAACACACAAATCCTGCACATTTAGGCTGAGTTCTTCTCTCAACCAGAAAACACCCCATTCCACTTTGTGATGGAATTGCAAATCTTCACAAAACAAAAGGTCAAAAGTAACTGTCAACTTGAAAATTACATCACAAGGTGGAACAAAGCATTTTGAGCTCTGGGGTTGCACACAGTCTAATGATGTACCTTTATTCAAACATGTCAAATGAAACAAAACACAACTCCAGGTATGAATGAGGCAACAACATTCTAACAAGGCTTAAAGCTCACAAGATTTTTAAAATTTATTTTATATTTTTTGTTTTGCATAATATAGGACCTTTAACCATTTCAGATTTCCAGGCCTAATCTTAACCAAACACAAGGTCTACAGCAAGACATTCACAGACAAACTAGACAACAGGCAACTTATATACCAATGCTGTTTACGCCAGCCTATGTTCACAGTTTAGTTTTTTTTTTTTTTTTTTTTGTAATGACATATTTTAAACTGTTAATTAAATGAAACACAACCCACACACCAAAGTTCTTGTAGAGGTGCAAATGCAAGGAACAGCAAAATAAATTGAAAAAATGCATAGCACACTCAGGTGGCTGATGTCTAAAAGCTTTTTTAAATTACTTTAAATAATTTTTCTGGAAAAAAAAAAAAAAAAAAAAAAAAAAAGGCCTTTGTCAGATATTTTTTTTTATTTATTTTGTACTGTGGTCCAACGCAAGAAAAATATCTGATGAAGGCTTTTTTTTTTATTAATATATTTATTTTTTAATGCTGAAACGTTATTTAAAAATAATACAAACAAAAAAGCTTTTGGACATTGACCATCTGAGTGTGCTATGCATTTTTTCACTTTTATTAAACTGCTAATTACCATATGCAAGCAGAAGAGAGCAGAGAACATGCTAGATTAATATTAAGGTTAAGGTACACTTCACTGTCCCTTTAGGAAAATTTGTCCTCTGCATTTGACACTAGGATTGCCTTAGCTGGAGGATTTGACTTATGGTGCATGTTTTGGGTTGGTGAGGAAAACCAGAGAGGACTGAGGACGCCCACCCAGACACAGGGAGAACACTCAGACAGTGTGCCGCCTGGTTCGTTTCAAACAAGTGAAATCTGTGACTGAATGTTTTGCTTTGAACAGTTTGAAGTGAGCTTCATCACCTTTAATGATCTTTAAGAGACAATGAACTAAAGCAACAACTGATCCAAAGTGTAATTATGATATGATGTGAAAATGACTGAAAAATGGCAAGGGACATATGGCTGGAGGTGTAGGGTCTGAGTGGACTGTGGCTCCAGAGGAAACAGAATGCTCCAGCAGCTTGAGCCCAGACCTGTGCGCTCTGATGCTATTTTTAGCCTTCTCTTTAGCCTACACAGCACGTCTGCCATTGGAGGGATTGGAATGATGATGATGAGGCAATCTCCGGGACAATACAGGTCAACTCAAATATTTATTGTATTAAAGTACTCCTTTCTGTAAATGGAGTACTTTTGGATTCATTGGAGTCTCACCTTGTTTACTTAAGTCCTTTTTGAAAATGCTGCCCATGGTCTCATCAAAAATATTGAAAACCAGATACTAAACAATACTAAAACTAATATCAAGACTACTGTATATACTCATTTGAGCAGGACAGAAGTGAACCTTTCTTGAAGCTTTAGAATGATATTGAGCTGTATCAGAACAAGTGTCAGAGCACATAGACTAGTACACACACATGGACCAACATGAACCTACTGCACCACTGACCATCACACAGTTAAACATGGGAATAGAAAAGAAAGTACTACCACACAATGCTGTGTTTTATTATAATCATGTATTGGACTTTGTATTGAGTATTGAGTGTAAATATCATGACAACAGTCACCTCTAAACATGAGTAATTTCTTGATCCATGCAGAGTGCACAGTGTCCTCGTGCTCTCGCTGTGTCGCTCTACTGATCTGAAGAGTTGCGTTTGTGAAAGGGAAATTCCAAGCAGCACGTGGCTCATATGCACACGACCGTGCAGCATTCATGCAGGTAATTCTCTTTCATTCGAAAAATAATGAGCCTGTGAAAAGCCATTCCAAGATCTTTGGCTCAAGTCAAAGTCAAGTCTCAAATCACAAAGGGCAGGTCCTAAATCTGAACCTGAGTGAAGTATTTCTGAAGCATTAGCCCAGTGAGTCAAGTTGTAACATTTTATCCTCCTTTCTTCCAGTTCTGATTATTCATGTACTCTTTGACACCCCGTGTGAATGTATTTAGTGACAGAATACTAAATACTAGGGAACAATATTCAAATCTCTTGGTATGATACTTTCACAACATGCATCTCACTGTACAATATTTATTGCAATATTTTGTCAAAGCAAACAAAACTGTGAATACACTACTTTTTTCAGTTAAAATCTCTTGACAAGACTTAACCCAAAGAACAGAACAAAAAAAAAAAAAAACTTAGTCTGCACTGAAACAGAGCAAAGGATCATGGTCCATGTAGTTCCCTGTGTTATTTCAGCTACTACAGCACCGCTTCATTTGTAACTGCATATATGGTGATGGCCCATGATATTATTGTGAGACTTTTGACGGTACAATTTCACAATATTTTGATTATTGTTACATCCCTACTGAATATCCAACAATAAAATGTATTTTGTAATGTATTCTGACATAATCCACTCTGTAGTCCAAGTACTGTATTCTGAATACTTTTTCATCAAGCTGTATTAAAATATTGTATATGAACCTGCAATGTTGGAAAATGTGCGTTAAGATTGTGTTTTTGAACTGTTTATTGGTTTACTGCAGAAAAAGTGTGACGAGGGACAGGAGTTGAGAATTAGCTCCACACTTTTATACGTCACATCAGCTGCATGTTGTGCCTGTGACTATGTGTGACTACATTGTCCCTGTCCCGGGCTGGTCTAAACTTAAAAGTTGTATGGAGGATTTTTTTTTTTTTTTAGTTTCAAATTGTCATTGAAAGTTTAAAATACCATTACAGAGATGTAGCAGCCTTGTAATTATGATGACCAAAAAAAAAAAAGAATGAAAATCTATCAACTGTGGACAGGTTGAGGCCAGATAAACATCAGCCAATAGATAACGAGGCTCCCTCTTTATCTATTGGCCGTTAGGTTGTCAGTCAAACTAGCTACGTTTCTAGCATAACTGACTCGCCGGTGCGCAGGGATTATGTGGTCGCTTCCTCGCAATTCGCACAAAGTTTGTTGCGATGGAGGACGAGACTCCATGACCAGTTTGCTGCAAAAAAAAGTCTGTTTTTGAGGTCGCAGAAAGAAGAAGAGAAGAGGAAAATGAGCAAAGCCAAACTGAGGTGATTCTTGGAGATTCCTTCCAACGATGGCACACTGAAGTAGACGAAGGGTCTAAAAACTGACGCGTCGGTCGCTAAAATATTTCTAGACAGGTCACTTCAACAGTAATTCTGAACACACACTGGTGTGATTTCTACAGTAAAGAGGCGGGAGGAGGAGATGTTTCTGCTGAGGGAGCTGTGGAGGAGGAAGGTGGTGTCACTCATGCACAACATTTGAAAAAGGACTGTAGCTGTATTTCACTTCCTTAAAAATCCTCTATACAACCTTGAAGGACTCACAGTTTTCACGCAGCAGAGGGAGGACAGGGGTAACCGGGGACCAGGTGCTCGGAACTGCAGGTAGAGCAGGTAAAACGGAGAACAGGTCCACAGGTAAATGCATGGTGACCACACCAGGACGGTCTGCTGGAAGCACTGAGTCAGGTCAGGCCGCTCGGTGTACCACGTCAGGTTCCAATCCTGAAGTAGAGCACACAGTCACAAATCAAGTGGATGTGTTTTTATATTTCTGACTCAGTTTTGTGGCTCGTATCATAGACTGTATGTATAAATGTACACAGCTAACCTGCTATGTGGCACATTCCAAACAGGAAGTGAGCATTTGCGTGCTTCTGGCTTCATCAACTCCAGCTCCAATTCACTTTATATTGAAAAACTGTGGCCCCTCTCTCTGTACCTGCTGCTGTTAGGCTCCTCATTTTGGTCTTAAAATGTTCCTTTTAATCCACTCTACATGATCCTGGTGTTTTTATTTCACTATTTTGTCCGTAAATTACAATGTGATTATTAACAACAGACCAATCAGGCGCCTTCTACCCTGAGGTTTCTCTCTCTAGTGTTAGCTCTGCTTTGTTAGAGTGCCCTCATTGAACCCTCAAACCAGCGGTGCAGGCACAAAGGGGCGTTACCTTCAACAGCCTTGCTCCTGATTGGCTCCTTGATTTCCATAGTGCTCATGATCAGAATTACAAATAGGGAACTCTGCCCCAAATTTGTCCCTGTAAATGCAAGCCTCGATGAACTTTATTTGAATGGATGACTGGAGTGGGTGACGTCATGCTCCCTCCTTCCTTTTCTTTATACAGTCTGTGTGGAAGCCAAGAGCCAAGAGGTCAGTGCAAAATCTATAAGTGAATGATTCCCCACTAACCCAATTATTTCAGTGAATTTATTTCGAGAATAATGGTCCTGAACGAGGGTCCAGGGAGGCCGCTCGAAAATGTCACCCACTCAAAGATCTGCATACTAAGACGTGAATGAACAAGAGAGGAGCTCTTTACAATAAGGCAGAGCTATGTTTGGCATTTGTAAACATGAGTAATAGAATGATAATGAGCAAATACCTATGAACATTACAGTTTTATAAATAATACATTTATTTATGAAGTGTATTAAATAGTGTGTCATTAAATAAACAGTCAGTATGTCAATATCAACAGTAAATATGTTGTGTTAGCAGGTAATACCAACACAGAAGTGTAACACCACCTCTTTAAAATAAACACATATTACTGGGACAAAACAGAAACATCAACCAAATGAAAACATTTTATGAGTAAAAATTGCCAAATTTGACAATTTTTGGAGCATTCCAAACAGAAACATGAAAATAGCCAGGTTGAAATGTCTTGCTTCTTTTTGTAGACATATTAAATATGAACAAATATGCAGAGGGGATTTTGGATATCTAGATATTAGATATCAACAAATTCTTCTGTACATTTTGTCAAAATCTTGTTTAGTACAAGACTGTCAAGTTTGGTGTTTGTAAGTGTTAATGTTTCTGTTTCTGTGAGGGAAGAAAAATGGATTTGGAGAAATCAGCCTTTGAAATGACAGTGTTCCATAGAACTCCATAGAGGTAGGTGGACTGAAATAAATATTCAAACATATTTTGGTGCAGAGTGGACATTTTTGTTGTTTACACATGAAAGCTTGTGACTAAGAGATCAAACTGACCATAAAACTGAAAATTAAATAGAATTAAACATAGTGTCTCCCCTTAACACTGATTATTCTATTGAAAAAGCACCAGAGCGATGCTGTGCCACTTACCCAGAAGGGATCCAGCCCGCTGAGCCTGCACAGGGCCTCCATGTCTCTGCCCGTCTCTCTGTCTCTGGATGCTTCTCTGCTGTGAGCGTGGTCTCTGTCTCTGTCTCTCTGTCTCTGTCTCCTCCTACTCCTCTGCTGTGAGCGTGGTCTCTATCTCTGGGTGTCCGTACGCTGTGAGCGTGGTGGGCTTTGGTGCTTGTGTCTTGTGAGTGGACAGTATAGTGTTGGTACAGTCATTTAACACAGAGGTGAGAGCTGTGACATGCACAAACTGTCCCTCTGTCACACAGCACTGGGACATTCTATGGCCCTGTCAACATCCACTAGACACGCACACACCAGGCTCTCCTGCCTCCACCACCTGATCGTCTCCATGGAGATGACACTTTTGACATTAAAGCTTTACCTTGCATTTAGTAGATTATATGTTTTTGTTGTTTAAAGCTCCTGTATTACACAGAATAAACTCTTGTGAGCTATGGCCATGTTATGCTGTCAAAAACAGACCTGGAGTTATGTTTAGTTTCATTCACACACGTTTGTGTAACCCTTTATTATTAAACTGTTAAAATGCTCTTTTACACCTTCTGATGTCATGAAGTGGGAGTTTTCAACTACAGTTTAGTTCAGTAGAGATTGGCAATTCCACTGCTGAAATCATTCAAATGATTCTAGTGAAGAGAGTTTAAAAACATAGTGGAGCACTTCCTGCATTACCACGACATCACAAGGTGAAACAGCATGTTTTCTGTTTGAGAGAAAAACTAAATGTGCAGGTTTTGTGTGAATAAAACAAACACAACTTCAGCTCTGTTCATGATGAGGAAACTACATTAGAACATTGATCAGAAACAATGTGGACTGAACCATTTAAAAGAGTTGACCTGGTTTTTACAGTGGTCCAAAGTTCTTCCTCACTTATTTGATGTATTGTGAGTGTCTTAATTTGTAACCTTAATTAACAACCACAAAGAATTTCTAAGACCTTAATAAGAGCTCAATAATAACAACTAGCATACTAACATGCACTGATCTGAACGCTTTATAAGGAGGCTGCAGATGCAGACAGAGTTTGACCTGAAGAGCTGCTGATACAGCACAGCTCAGGTCAGGGCAGGTCAGCACTGGAAATGAAAAGGTGCTGGTGGAAAAAATGGAAAAAAAAAAAAAAATGGAATGCACAACAACAATAATAATAGCGGTAAGATGTGGCCCCTGTGTGAGGCCCCCATGTCAGGTGTCCAGACTGTGGCCCCTGTGTGAGGCCCCTGTGTGAGGCCCCTGTGTGAGGCCCCTGTGTGAGGCCCCTGTGTGAGGCGTCGCTGTCCATGGTGCTGAATGCCACTGGAATCTTGACTTTGGAATTACTGGATGATTTTTCATTGTGATGAAAACAAATCAAATAAAAATGTGAACATTATTAAAAGGCCAGAACAAGAATAATAAATAAATACTTACATACATACATACATACATACATACATACATACATACATACATACATACATAAATAAATAAAAGAGAGCTTTCCCTAGTCTGTGTCATGGTGTTTTTGAATTATAAAGTGTTTAAATGCCTAATGCTAGTTGCTGTTAATGTCACCATGACAACAAAACTCCACTTTGGTCTCTGAGAGCTGTGAAAAGTGCTTTTAAACTCATTATGGGGAATCATTTGGATGTTCAGACATGAGGAAGAACTTTGGACCCCTGCAGACTGTTTTAATGAACTTGTACTGAAGTTTTACTCCATAAAATGTTTTCATATGAAGTGATGCATTTGAAATGCATGTGAAATATTATATTCAAATACTAAATGATATCAGTACTAATAAATAAATAAAAATAAAAAAGGATCCATCTTTCATATGTGCAAAACATGCACCCCAAATCTGTGCACTTTTAGTCACGCTATTTAATATTTAATATTTTATATTTAATATTTTATATTTTATATTAGGCATAGACTGATCAAATATTCCTTTTGGCTACATTTAGAATGTGTTTACACATTTCCATGTTCTGTGACTGTATCTACTGCAGTTCTTATAGTTGTTGCGCTCCCAGCTGCAGTGGAAGAGCTGTCTGCCCCACTGCACTCACAGGATCACTACTGTGTGTACTCTGTGTACTCTGTGTACTGTGTGTACTGTGTGTGTAGCCTACTGTGTGCTACTGCAGGCTACAAACTCTTCCTGTTATGTTCTTTCCCCTCTCCTGCCTCTCTTCTTCTCTGTCCTCCCTCTCCCAAACCCCCTCCTCTCCTCATGTCTCTAACTCCCTCTCTCCTCCCACCCACCCCTCTCTCTTTCTCTCTCTTCTCTCTCTCATCCCTCCTTCTCTCACCCATCCCCTCTTTCTCTGTCCTCTCCCCCCCCCCCCCATCTCTCCTTCCCCTCTATCCCTCTATCCCTCTACCCCTCTTTCTCTCTTTCTCTCTTTTCTTCTTTCTCTCTCCTCCCCTCCTCTCCGCGCTGACAGTGTTTTATTGCCCCGTAGGCAGGAGCAGAGGCACGAGGAAGTTGGCGGTGGAGGATGTGAGCGCGGCGCAGTGCAGATAGAGCGCGCGCGGGAGAGGACAACCGAGAGAACGCACGCGGGGAAGCACGCGGGGACGCACGCGGGGACGCACGCAGGCCTCCTCCAGGACGCTTCCGTTCTGCAGGTAACGTTTTTTGGGGTTGGCGCACATGCACACGGTTGGCATGGCTCTGTGTGTGTGTGTGTGTGTGTGTGTGTGTGTGCGTGCTTGTGTGTGTGTGTGTGTGTGTGTGTGTGTGTGTGCGTGCGTGCTTGTGTGTGTGTGTGTGTGTGTGTGCGTGCTTGTGTGTGTGTGTGTGTGTGTGTGTGTGTGTGCGTGCTTGTGTGTGCGCGCGGGATTGTGCTGTGTCAGACCGGTCCGGCGCAAAGTTAGGCTCCGGTTTTGTGCCCGTGCTCAGCCCCGGTTGACCTGACTGGAGTCCGGGGGGTGTAGTTAGGTGCTCGGGTCTCGGAGCTCAGAGCGTGTCCGGGGTGGTCCGGGGTGTGTTCGGTGTGTGTTCGGTGCGCAGTAGTCCGGTACCGTAAGCAGCAGCGCCCCCTTCTCTGCCCCCCCTGCTCCGGTAGAGCGCGTTTGTCCGGGACACGTGCGGGGCTCGTATGTCACTGTCACTTTAGGCCAATGAGCAGAGCGCGTGAGTCTCACAGGAGCAGCGTTTTACCATTTGGTGCATTGTTCAATCTCTCAGGCTGCGGCCACAGCTGCCGCGGGACAGCCGGGAACAGCGCGAGCACGCGCACACGCACGGGACTGTTGTTTAATCTGCTCGTCTGGGCTGAAGTGTTGGAAATGATCTGGAGAATCATTGGTTTCGTCTGAAAATAACGAATTATTTTACGAATCTCGGGATGATCCGAAAGCTCAAATTCAAAATGGTCTTTCTGCCCCTCTCTACTCACTCCCTCTCTCTCCTCTTCCTCCATCCTCTCCTACTCTTCTCTTTCTCCTCTCCATCTCCTTGTCTCCCTCCCTCTCTTCCTCCCATCTCCCCCTCATTCTTTATCTCTCTTCACCTCTTTCCCTCTCTCTCCCTCTCTTTTCTGCTCTCTTTCTCACTCTCTCCTCTCTCTCCTTCTTTCTCCTCTCTCTCCCGCTCATTCTTCTGCTTTTTCTCTCTCCCTCTCTCCTTCTCTCCCCCTCTCTTCTGCTTTCTCTCCCCCTCACCCTCCTTCTCTCCATCTCTCTCCTCTCTCTTCCTCTGTCTCTCCTCTCTCTCTCTCCTTCTCTGTCTCTCTCCCTTCTGCTCTCTCTCCTCTCTCTCTGCCACTTCCTCTGCCCCCCGTCTCTCTCTCCCTCTCTCTCTCCTTCTCTGTCTCTCTCTCGCTCTCTCTCTCTGTGTCTCCCTCCTGCTCTCTCTCCTCTCTCTCTCCCCCTCTCTCTCTCTTTCTCTCTCTCTCCCTCTGTCTCTCTATCTTCTCTCTGTTCCACCTTGTGATGTCATGAAGCTTTCAAGTTAACTGCTTTTAACCTTTCGTTCAGAAGAGATTGACAATTCCAGGAGTGAAATCATCCAGATGATTCTATTGGGGGCTGGAGTTCAAATCACAGCGAGAAAAACGTCGCCTAAATGTGCAGGTTTGTGTGTTTTATTCGTGTGAATGAAACAAAACACAACTCCACGTCTGAGGAAACAAGAGGTAACATGGATCATGGGCCCATCGCTAGAATCATTTGGATCATTTCAGCCCTGGAATTGCCAATGTCTACTGAACTAAAGATTAAAGAGAGCTGTTGAATTGAAAACTACCACTATATGACATTACCAGGTGGAACAGAGCATTTTGAGCCTTGGAGATGTAGACAGATTAATAATAAACATTTGCGAATGAAACAAAACAGAACTCTGCTTATGTTTATTCAAACAGGGCTAAAAGCTCATGAGAGTCCGTGTTGTGTAATATAGGACCTTTAACAATCATTGTAGGTGTAAAATAAGACTAAGCTGATGTTTGACTGTAGCTGCAGCGAGTTTGCCTGTCTCCATCACCGTCTCTGTGTGTCATTGTGCTCGGGCCAAGGTTAGGTCTCGTGCTCTGGAGACACTTTAACGCTCAGTCATTACCAGTGCCCATCAGGATCTGTCCTCTGAGCCCTCTGCACATACATCATCATCGTTTCACTCGCACGCTCCACACACAGCTGAACCCTTTATGCACACCATCCCATACTGCCTTTTCCACCAGATGCCCTGTCACATTTATGGAAGTGGACTGGGCTCTGTGGTAAATGGGTAAGGTCAAAACGGACTTCTGTGAGCTTTAAGTCGTGTTAGAATGGTGTTACCTCCCCAAAACATACCTGGAGTTATGTTATGTTTCACTCACATCTTTGAGGTTTATTAGCCTGTCTATTAGTGTATTTACATCTCCAAAACTCAAAATGCTCTGTTCCATCTTGTGATGTCATGCAGTGGTAGCTCTCTTGACCTTTTACATAACAGTTCCTTGTACCTTTCGTGCAGTAGAGACTGGCAATTCCATGGGCTGAAATCATTCAAATGATTCTAATGAAGGTGCATGGAGTCCAAAAATGCAGTGGAGCACTTCCTATATTAACACATGACATCACAATGTGGAACAGAGTGATTTCCTTTTGAGAGAGAGTCTGTTCCAGGTCAGCTGTGACAAGTGTGACATAAATATGTGTAGAACATCAGTCCTTCAGGTAGAATCCAATGCAAAGGAGAAATTCAGTTTGTCAAGACTTGTTTACAGTTACTGTAAACTGTCCACCAGCATCTGACCAGAACTGAAGCATGGATGAGCTCTGAAACATTTTCAACCTAAATAAACATTTGTTTGACAAACTGAATTTCTCCTTTGTTGTGGCGCTAATGAATCATGCACAAAATTGTTTCAGAAAGGCATTACAAGTACAAGTGAACCTGTGTCAGCAGAGCCTTAACCTGCACATAGAGACACGTCCGATTTTGTCTCATTCTCAGTATATGGACTGAGAACCTCAAGAGCTGCAGAGGCTGCACTAGCACTGACTCATGACTGGTGCAGGTGCTGGGGTTTAGGCAGTGACCGTTCAGATCAGACAACTTTCTGCTTTCTGATTGAATCGTCTTGAAAAACACATTCACCTTCAGAGCCTCACCTTCACATATGTAACAGCAAAGGAGCTGGGAGCCTATCTGACCAGCAGGGGGTGCTGCTCACCTGCCTTACAAGGCTCAGAATGTAGGACTTCGGTCTTAACAGCTGTGAGACAAAATTACATTTTATAGTTTCAGTTGGTTGGAATTTTCATGTCATTTTCATATATTGCTGGATTATAAACTGTAGGGAATTCTGTATCACCATAGCAACACACCAGAACACCCAGCACAAACACGACCTGTCAAAAGTTTTACACACACCCTTATTCAGTGTGTTTTTTTTCTTTATGTTTACTACTTTCTAGATTTTATAAACATACAGAAGGCCTCAAATATATGGGGCTTATTGAATTATGTAGAAACAAAGTGAAATAAATTAACTACATATTTTTTATATTTTATATCCAAGTCCTCAAAGTGTCTGTCCTTTACTTTTTTTTAGGGTCTGTGTTTAGTATGTTTTGAAGAGTTACGTAAAAGAGTAATACAAGCAGATGTAGAACTGAACCTGCCTTCACCTTGTTCCTGAAACTCCGCCCGCGGTGTATTGAAGGCATGATGGCTGTCAGGCACTCCTTGGTCCTCCTCCTGCTTCTCGGACTTTGCTGCACTGACCTAACCTGGGCCAAAGAGGGCAAGTCTGCCAAGAAGGGCAAGAAGGGCAAGAAGGTGGTGTGTCCCGCGTAAGTACTTTCTAGTCCTTTTAGCTGACAGCAGTCATGTGTTTGAGGGGCTGCACAGAAAACAAGGACATCACATACATGCTCTTTACAGTCAGCTGTCTCCTGAGGACATGGCCCACGTTCCAGCCAACTCCACCTCCAACATCCTTAACCGCCTGATGGTGACCTACGACCCCAGGATCAGGCCCAACTTCCAGGGTAGGTACTTGAAGTCATCACCAGCAGAGACTACAGGAGGAATGCAACAGTAAAGTAAATGGACTAACTCATGCAGTAACTGTTTCCCTTGCAGGAATCCCAGTGGAATCCAAAGTCAATATCTTCATCAACAGTTTTGGCTCTATCCAGGAGACCACCATGGTGAGTGTGGGGACAGACCTCTGCAAACCCGTGTTCATTCTCAGACGCTGCCCAAAAGGAAGGAGGTTAAATTCCTCAAAGAGTGGGTGCTCAGGCCTCTACATTATTTGTTGGACCTTGCAAATCCCCCTTCTGCTGTAGATGTTCTGCAGCTGGGACTGCTATAAGCCTTTACCTGCCACTTTGACCAACCAAGCCAAACGATTTCAACTAGACACAGAGAGGGCCCCGAACCAACAGACAATACAAAATGCAAAAATAAATTAAATAAAACTCTGACAAAAAAGGGTCATAAGGACATTGCTGATGTTAAAAGAATATATTTTCCTTAAAAAGAACAGTCTTTTCTGCACTTTCTTACAGATGACATCAGTGTACAATTCAAAGTGTAGGACACTGTCAATAATTGTCCTTAGATATTTATATTCAGAGACAAATTCAACTTCTTTTCCCTGAATTACAGAATGCTGCTTTCTGCTTTCTGATTGGATAATCGTATTGAGAAACAAAATACCAAATTACTTGACCACAGTGGTGGGGCGTCAAGGCCGGCAAGTTCTTCTCTGCTGGCCTTAAAAAATTTCTGAATGACAGACTGATGTTAATTACATTACATGTAAATAATTCCAAATGGTCTGTCCTCTTCCTTTCAGAGCTTTTCCGATGCTTGTGCAGCTTCCACACACGTATTTTCATATTAAAGCATTTGACCAATCACATTTCAGCCGTCACTTGTTGCTAGGCAGAGTCAAAGTCAAAGAAGTGTCCCTGAGGCCTTCACAATCTGTTCTGCAGGAACTCGAACACAAAATAAATGTTCATGAAACTGTTCTTTCAACCAATCAAATTTTGAGTTGGTGTCACCAGGGCCTTCTAGCAGTGAATGATGTCACTTGGATTCAGAGCCGTGATTGGACAGTCAGAGAGAGAACCAGCCAAAGCAGCAAACTGCATCTGTAGTGGAACTAAACCAGGACTAAACCAGGACTAAACCAGGTCTAAACCAGGACTAAACCAGGTCTAAACCAGGACTAAACCAGGACTAATCTTGGACTTGAGAGAGAGCAAGAGAGAGAGAAAGAGACTACAAAGTGTGAACAATGTGGAGCAGTGTGGCGCCCTGGCCCCGGCGTGGTCCTTTCGCCTCCGGTCACCCGACAGTCTGCGCGGGCGCACCTTCGGGCCAGTCCCAACAAACAGTCCTGTTCTGGTTTAGTTCTGGTTTAGTCCTGGTTTAGTTCTGGTTTAGTTCTGGTTTAGTCCTGGTTTAGCACCCCAGCGCTCCTCACTTCTTCTCTGTGCACCTTGCACCCCCCTTTCTCACTTCTCCGTGCACGAAATCTCCACGGCTCCTTATACTGTGTTTCTGTAGAATAAGATTCTTTTATAATCATAAAACTGTTATTGAGGAGTGGATTGTTTCAAATGGAGCACCACTGAAGGCCTAGGTGTGAAATGCACGCTCCAACACTGCATGACCATTATGGCCAGTGTTTTTGTAACTAAGAATAAATCAACATGACAGTTGTTGCCAGTAAAAACTATATTTATTTAACATGTTGACCTCGTATCTTGGGACACAGGTATGTAAATCTTTCATATGGATCATTTAATGCTCCTGATTTGCTTTAAAATGTGCACTGAACATTGATCTTGATTTGAAGTCATATTCACTAAAGCCAATGCTCATGCTCATACTGTGTTGTCAGGACTACCGTGTGAACATCTTTCTGCGTCAGCGCTGGAATGACCCGCGCCTCCGCCTGCCCACGGACTTCAAGAGCGACGCCCTCACCGTGGACCCCAAGATGTTCCAGTGTCTGTGGAAACCAGACCTGTTCTTCGCCAACGAGAAGAACGCCAACTTCCACGACGTCACCCAGGACAACATCCTGCTCTTCATCTTCAGGAACGGAGACGTGCTCATCAGTATGAGGTATGTCTGTGTGTGTGTGTGTCTGTGTGTAAGGGGGAAGGGGGAAACTGTGGATGAGTAGTTCTGGTGGAGAAGTGGGTGAGTAGGCTTCATGTGGATGAATAGGTCTTATGTGCATGAGAAGGCCCTGTGTAAATGGAAGACGTGTTCTGGTGTGTTCTGGTGTGTGTTCTTGTGTGTGTTCTGGTGTGTGTTCTTGTGTGTGTTCTTGTGTGTGTTCTGATGTGTGTTCTTGTGTGTGTTCTTGTGTGTGTTCTGGTGTGTGCTCTTGTGTGTGTTCTTGTGTGTGTTCTTGTGTGTGTTCTGATGTGTGTTCTGGTGTGTGTTCTGGTGTGTGTTCTTGTGTGTGTTCTTGTGTGTGCTCTTGTGTGTGTTCTTGTGTGTGTTCTGGTGTGTGTTCTTGTGTGTGTTCTGGTGTGTGTTCTGGTGTGTGTTCTGGTGTGTGTTCTTGTGTGTGTTTCTTGGTGTGTGTTCTGGTGTGTGTTCTGGTGTGTGTTCTGGTGTGTGTTCTGGTGTGTGTTCTTGTGTGTGTTCTGGTGTGTGTTCTGGTGTGTGTTCTGGTGTGTGTTCTGGTGTGTGTTCTGATGTGTGTTCTGTGTGTGTTCTTGTGTGTGTTCTTGTGTGTGTTCTGTGTGTGTTCTTGTGTGTGTTCTTGTGTGTGTTCTTGTGTGTGTTCTTGTGTGTGTTCTGGTGTGTGTTCTTGTGTGTGTTCTGATGTGTGTTCTGTGTGTGTTCTTGTGTGTGTTCTGGTGTGTGTTCTGATGTGTGTTCTTGTGTGTGTTCTGGTGTGTGTTCTTGTGTGTGTTCTTGTGTGTGTTCTTGTGTGTGTTCTGGTGTGTGTTGTCTTGTGTGTGTTCTTGTGTGTGTTCTGTGTGTGTTCTGGTGTGTTTCTTGTGTGTGTCTTGTGTGTGTGTGTTCTTGTGTGTTCTTGTGTGTGTTCTGGTGTGTGTTCTGATGTGTGTTTCTTGTGTGTGTTCTTGTGTGTGTTCTGGTGTGTGTTCTTGTGTGTGTTCTTGTGTGTGTTTCTGTGTGTGTGTGTCTTGTGTGTGTGTTCTTGTGTGTGTTCTGATGTGTGTTCTTGTGTGTGTTCTTGTGTGTGTTCTGTGTGTGTGTCTGGTGTGTGTTCTTGTGTGTGTTCTGGTGTGTGTCTGTGTGTGTTCTTGTGTGTGTTCTGGTGTGTGTTCTGTGTGTGTTCTTGTGTGTGTTCTGTGTGTGTTCTTGTGTGTGTTCTTGTGTGTGTTCTTGTGTGTGTTCTTGTGTGTGTTCTGGTGTGTGTTCTTGTGTGTGTTCTGTGTGTGTGTGTTCTTGTGTGTGTTCTGATGTGTGTTCTTGTGTGTGTTCTTGTGTGTGTTCTTGTGTGTGTTCTTGTGTGTGTGTTCTTGTGTGTGTTCTGTGTGTGTTCTGGTGTGTTCTGTGTCTTGTGTGTGTTCTGATGTGTGTTCTTGTGTGTGTTTGTGTCTTGTGTGTGTTCTGATGTGTGTTCTTGTGTGTGTTCTTGTGTGTGTTCTGATGTGTGTTCTTGTGTGTGTTCTTGTGTGTGTTCTGATGTGTGTTCTGGTGTGTGTTCTTGTGTGTGTTCTGGTGTGTGTTCTGATGTGTGTTCTTGTGTGTGTTCTGGTGTGTGTTCTGATGTGTGTTCTTGTGTGTGTTCTGGTGTGTGTTCTGTGTGTGTGTGTGTGTTCTTGTGTGTGTTCTTGTGTGTGTTCTGGTGTGTGTTCTTGTGTGTGTTCTGTGTGTGTTCTGTGTGTGTTCTGATGTGTGTTCTTGTGTGTGTTCTTGTGTGTGTTCTTGTGTGTGTTCTTGTGTGTGTTCTGGTGTGTGTTCTGGTGTGTGTTCTTGTGTGTGTGTGTGTGTTCTGTGTGTGTTCTTGTGTGTGTTCTGTGTGTGTGTGTGTGTTCTTGTGTGTGTTCTTGTGTGTGTTCTGGTGTGTGTTCTGGTGTGTGTTCTTGTGTGTGTTCTGATGTGTGTTCTTGTGTGTGTTCTTGTGTGTGTTCTGATGTGTGTTCTTGTGTGTGTTCTTGTGTGTGTTCTGATGTGTGTTCTTGTGTGTGTTCTTGTGTGTGTTCTGATGTGTGTTCTGATGTGTGTTCTGATGTGTGTTCTGGTGTGTGTTCTTGTGTGTGTTCTGGTGTGTGTTCTGATGTGTGTTCTTGTGTGTGTTCTGTGTGTGTTCTGATGTGTGTTCTTGTGTGTGTTCTTGTGTGTGTTCTTGTGTGTGTTCTGTGTGTGTGTGTCTTGTGTGTCTGTGTGTGTGTGTGTGTGTCTTGTGTGTGTTCTTGTGTGTGTTCTGATGTGTGTTCTTGTGTGTGTTCTGATGTGTGTTCTTGTGTGTGTTCTGATGTGTGTTCTTGTGTGTGTTCTGGTGTGTGTTCTTGTGTGTGTTCTGATGTGTGTTCTTGTGTGTGTTCTGGTGTGTGTTCTGGTGTGTGTTCTTGTGTGTGTTCTGTGTGTGTTCTTGTGTGTGTTCTGGTGTGTGTTCTTGTGTGTGTTCTGGTGTGTGTTCTGGTGTGTGTTCTGATGTGTGTTCTTGTGTGTGTTCTGATGTGTGTTCTTGTGTGTGTTCTTGTGTGTGTTCTGATGTGTGTTCTGGTGTGTGTTCTTGTGTGTGTTCTTGTGTGTGTTCTTGTGTGTGTTCTGATGTGTGTTCTTGTGTGTGTTCTTGTGTGTGTTCTTGTGTGTGTTCTGTGTGTGTTCTGTGTGTGTTCTTGTGTGTGTTCTGGTGTGTGTTCTGGTGTGTGTTCTTGTGTGTGTTCTGATGTGTGTTCTTGTGTGTGTTCTTGTGTGTGTTCTTGTGTGTGTTCTGATGTGTGTTCTTGTGTGTGTTCTGATGTGTGTTCTTGTGTGTGTTCTGATGTGTGTTCTTGTGTGTGTTCTGATGTGTGTTCTGGTGTGTGTTCTGGTGTGTGTTCTTGTGTGTGTTCTTGTGTGTGTTCTTGTGTGTGTTCTGGTGTGTGTTCTGATGTGTGTTCTGTGTGTGTGTGTGTTCTGGTGTGTGTTCTTGTGTGTTCTGTGTCTTGTGTGTGTGTGTGTTCTTGTGTGTGTTCTTGTGTGTGTTCTGTGTGTGTGTGTGTGTTCTGATGTGTGTTCTTGTGTGTGTTCTGATGTGTGTTCTGGTGTGTTTCTTGTGTGTGTGTGTGTTCTGTGTGTGTTCTGGTGTGTGTTCTTGTGTGTGTGTCTTGTGTGTGTTCTTGTGTGTGTTCTGGTGTGTGTTCTGTGTGTGTGTTCTGTGTGTGTGTGTCTGATGTGTGTTTCTTGTGTGTTGTGTCTTGTGTGTGTGTCTTGTGTGTGTTCTGATGTGTGTTCTTGATGTGTGTTCTTGTGTGTGTTCTTGTGTGTGTGTGTCTGTGTGTGTTCTGTGTGTGTTCTGTGTGTGTTCTTGTGTGTGTTCTTGATGTGTGTTCTTGTGTGTGTTCTTGTGTGTGTTCTTGTGTGTGTTCTTGTGTGTGTGTGTGTGTGCTTGTGTGTGTTCTGATGTGTGTTTCTTGTGTGTGTGTGTGTGTCTTGTGTGTGTTCTGTGTGTGTTCTTGTGTGTGTGTGTCTTGTGTGTGTTCTGGTGTGTGTGTGTGTTCTTGTGTGTGTTCTGATGTGTGTTCTTGTGTGTTCTTGTGTGTTCTGTGTGTGTGTGTGTTCTTGTGTGTGTGTCTGATGTGTGTTCTTGTGTGTGTGTCTTGTGTGTGTTCTGTGTGTGTTCTTGTGTGTGTTCTGGTGTGTGTTCTTGTGTGTGTGTGTGTTCTTGTGTGTGTGTGTGTTCTGTGTGTGTTCTTGTGTGTTCTGTGTGTGTTCTTGTGTGTGTGTGTCTGGTGTGTGTGTCTGATGTGTGTTCTGTGTGTGTTCTTGTGTGTGTGTGTCTTGTGTGTTTCTGTGTGTGTGTTCTTGTGTGTGTGTGTCTGGTGTGTGTTCTTGTGTGTGTGTGTCTTGTGTGTGTTCTTGTGTGTGTGTGTGTTCTTGTGTGTGTGTCTTGTGTGTGTTCTTGTGTGTGTGTGTGTTCTTGTGTGTGTTCTGTGTGTGTGTGTGTGTTCTGTGTGTGTGTGTGTCTTGTGTGTGTTCTGATGTGTGTTCTTGTGTGTGTTCTGGTGTGTGTTCTTGTGTGTTCTGTTCTTGGTTGTGTGTCTGTGTGTGTGTGTGTTCTGATGTGTGTTCTTGTGTGTGTTGTGTGTCTGGTGTGTGTTCTTGTGTGTGTTCTGATGTGTGTGTGTGTCTGTGTGTTTCTGTTCTGTGTGTGTGTTCTGTGTGTGTGTGTGTCTTGTGTGTGTTCTTGTGTGTGTGTGTGTTCTGTGTGTGTTCTTGTGTGTGTTCTTGTGTGTGTGTGTGTGTTCTTGTGTGTGTTCTTGTGTGTGTTCTGTGTGTGTTCTTGTGTGTGTTCTGATGTGTGTTCTTGTGTGTGTTCTGGTGTGTGTTTTGTGTGTGTTCTGTGTGTGTGTGTCTTGTGTGTGTGTCTGATGTGTGTTCTCTGTGTGTGTTCTTGTGTGTGTTCTGATGTGTGTTCTTGTGTGTGTTCTGATGTGTGTTCTTGTGTGTGTTCTGATGTGTGTTCTTGTGTGTGTTCTGATGTGTGTTCTTGTGTGTGTTCTGATGTGTGTTCTTGTGTGTGTTCTGATGTGTGTTCTTGTGTGTGTTCTGATGTGTGTTCTTGTGTGTGTTCTGATGTGTGTTCTTGTGTGTGTTCTGATGTGTGTGTGTGTTCTTGTGTGTGTGTCTTGATGTGTGTGTTCTTGTGTGTGTGTCTGTGTGTGTGTTCTGGTGTGTTCTTGTGTGTGTTCTGGTGTGTGTGTGTGTCTTGTGTGTGTGTTCTGGTGTGTGTTCTTGTGTGTGTTCTGTGTGTGTGTGTGTGTCTTGTGTGTGTTCTGTGTGTGTTCTTGTGTGTGTGTGTCTGATGTGTGTTCTGATGTGTGTTCTTGTGTGTGTTCTGATGTGTGTTTTCTGATGTGTGTTCTGTGTGTGTGTGTGTTCTTGTGTGTGTGTGTGTGTGTGTGTTCTTGTGTGTGTTCTGATGTGTGTTCTGTTCTTGTGTGTGTTTCTGGTGTGTGTTCTTGTGTGTGTTCTTGTGTGTGTGTCTTGTGTGTGTTGTGTGTGTTCTGTGTGTGTTTCTTGTGTGTGTTCTGATGTGTGTGTGTGTCTTGTGTGTGTGTTCTGATGTGTGTTCTTGTGTGTGTGTGTGCTGTGTGTGTTCTTGTGTGTGTTCTTGTGTGTGTTCTTGTGTGTGTTCTGGTGTGTGTTCTTGTGTGTGTTCTGTGTGTGTTCTTGTGTGTGTTCTTGTGTGTGTTCTGATGTGTGTTCTTGTGTGTGTTCTGATGTGTGTTCTTGTGTGTGTTCTGTGTGTGTGTGTGTGTTCTTGTGTGTGTTCTTGTGTGTGTTCTTGTGTGTGTTGTTCTGATGTGTGTGTGTCTTGTGTGTGTGTTCTGATGTGTGTTCTTGTGTGTGTGTTCTGTGTGTGTGTGTGTGTGTGTGTTTCTGTGTGTGTTCTGATGTGTGTGTGTCTTGTGTGTGTTCTAGTGTGTGTTCTTGTGTGTGTTCTTGTGTTGTGTGTGTTCTTGTGTGTGTGTGTGTGTTCTGTGTGTGTGTGTGTTCTTGTGTGTGTTCTGGTGTGTGTTCTTGTGTGTGTTCTTGATGTGTGTTCTTGTGTGTGTGTGTTGTTCTGTGTGTGTGTGTGTGTTCTTGTGTGTGTTCTGTGTGTGTGTGTCTTGTGTGTGTTCTGATGTGTGTTCTTGTGTGTGTTCTTGTGTGTGTTCTTGTGTGTGTTCTGGTGTGTGTTCTAGTGTGTGTTCTTGTGTGTGTTCTGATGTGTGTTCTTGTGTGTGTTCTGGTGTGTGTTCTTGTGTGTGTTCTGGTGTGTGTTCTTGTGTGTGTTCTAGTGTGTGTTCTTGTGTGTGCAGGCTCTCAGTGACCCTGTCCTGTCCCCTGGACCTCACCCTCTTCCCTATGGACACACAGTTCTGCAAGATGCAACTGGAGAGCTGTGAGTAACTCCACTGGGACACTTCTGTGTACTACTACTACTACTACTACTACTACTACTACTACTACTACTATTACTACTACTGAGAGAGAGAGACAGACAAACATACAGAGAAGAAGGAGAAAGAAAAAGTGAGAAAGACAGAGAGAGACAGACAGAAGAGAGAAGAAGAGAGTGAGAGACAGACAGAGAAGAGGGTTGACTGTAATACTGTCAGAGTTGGCACGCCATGATGGATTCTAGTGACAAGAATGATGCAATATCACAAGAATCCATCTGGCTGTGCAAGGTGATCCAGGTGAGCCAGGGATGGTCCAGTGATCAAATTTTGTGAACGGCCCTGAGTGACGAGGAGACAGAGTGCAGAGAGGAGAGATGGACAGAGGCAAAAAATGAGACAAGAGAGAGACTGAAAAGAGAGAGACAGAAAGAGTAACTAAGTGTGTGTGTGTGTATATGTGTGTGTGTTGCAGTCGGATACACCACTCGGGAGCTGGTGTTCATGTGGCAGTCAGACCCGGTGCAGATGGATGAGATCTCCCTGCCCCAGTTCGACATCCGCCAAGAGGACATCAAGTACGGCAACTGCACCAAGTACTACCAGGGCACAGGTCAGTACTGCATCAGGTACTACAGCAAGTACTAGCAGGACACAGGTCAGTACTGCATCAGGTACTACAGCAAGTACTACCAGGACACAGGTCAGTACTGCATCAGGTACTACAGCAAGTACTACCAGGACACAGGTCAGTACTGCATCAAGTACTACAGCAAGTACTACCAGGGCACAGGTAAGTACTACATCAGGTACTACAGCAACTACTACCAGGGCACAGGTAAATACTACATTAGGTACTACAGCAAATACTACCAGGGCACAGGTAAATACTACATTAGGTACTACAGCAAGTACTACCAGGGCACAGGTAAATACTACATTAGGTACTACAGCAAATACTACCAGGGCACAGGTTAGTACTGCAGCAGGTGCTGTACAAAGTAGTGCACAGAGAGGTTGATGACAGATGTGTCTTTTTGTCCTGCAGGACATTACACGTGTGTGGAGGTGATCTTCACTCTGCGTCGGCAGGTGGGCTTCTACATGATGGGTGTGTACGCTCCCACTCTGCTCACCGTGGTCCTGTCCTGGCTCTCCTTCTGGATTAACCCGGATGCCTCGGCTGCTCGAGTGCCCCTGGGTCTGTACTGCACTATTTTAAACTGTGGGGATAAAGGACTAAACAAAACAGGACCAAGGACAGCTAGATGGGACTTACTTTCAAGAGTGTAGAGACCAGAAAACACATGCTTCCATATTATAGTAGTGAGTTAAGGTAAAAAGACAAAGTACATTTTAGAGGTCCTATATTATGCAAAATATACTCAGGTGAGCTTATAATAATAATAAATTATAATATAATTATAGTAATAATAATCCCCTCAAAAACAGACCTGAAGTTGTGTTTTGTTTCTTTCATATGAATGACCCTTTATTTTTAGTCTGTTTACATCTCCAAAGCTCAAACTGCTCTGTTCCACCTTGTGATGTCATGAAGCAGTTTTTCACTTAACAGCTCCTTTTACCTTTTTTCCAACAGAGACTGGAAATTGCACAGCTTGAGTTTAAAAACAGAGTGGAGCACTTCCTGTATTATTACATGACGTCACAAGGTGGAATTTTTTTATTATTTTTTTTGTATCTGAGAGAAGATCTCAGCCGAAATCTGCAGGGTTATTACAACTTATTTGTTTATTTAAAAGTGTAATATATAACATGAAGATGCCCGGAATGTTCCACAGTATGGCATTAAGCATATCTTACTTATTATTTATTTATCCTATTGAGAATGACTTAATAAATGCTTAAGTAATACCCTGAAAAGCTTGCATTTGTAGAGTGGGGTTGCCTCTCCACAGATGTGACCTGTAAGATGGCCTGGTGGCAGTAGACACTGTATGTCTTGCCTCAGTACAGATGTACGGTATAAGCAGCTGTTGAGGTCAAAATAAGTCAGATGTGCACTGTCTGCATCTGATTATAAAGCGTTTTATCCTCTGCTAATCAGGAAGTGTGTGTTACCATTCTAGTTGTTGTTAGTTAGGTCCAGTCAACTGGTAATGGAGGGAAACGGGGGCAGATTTTTGACATTCAAATGTCTCTTATTCAGAAACTAGAGGGACTATTGAAATAAGTAAAGTATCAGAATGTAGGAAAGAGTTACACTCCAACAGGGTCAAGTTAAACCTGTGATATTCTTTCAAGTTGTTGACAAAAAATTTAAAAACTCATGTCGGTAACGGAGGGAATGAAATATGCAGCACTTTTTGGGCAATAAATCCAAACAGTGATAACTCTTGGTTCTCACTTCCATATCCTTAACAAACTGGTTTGAATATTTGCTTCATATAGTTTTCTACCATATGGTACAAGATTAGGTTGAAAAACCTCTTACTTTTTGAGATTTTTTATTAAGAAAGGTCATGTTAATGGAGGGAAAAGTAACGGAGGCAAAATTGTTCAAACAAGTAGAAGGTGCAGGATTTTACATAATTTTTCAACTTTTTTCTTCCAAATACTTAAATATTACTTCACAATGAAAGGAAACTATTTCTATAAAATATGTCAGTCCTTCCAAGCAAATTTTTATCATTTTAAATATTTTTTTTTTGAAAAATCATGTACCTTCATCAACAGTTCAAAGATGGAATAACACAAGATATGATGAAATACATCCATTTATTTACATGATTTGCAGGTCTTTGAAATTTGGGAAATAATTTTTGTTCCATGTTTCATACATGGTCTGTTTAAAACATATGGAACTTTAGAACCAAAAATGGTACAGAAAAAAGGTCAACAGTTTCATAAACTAGAGTACATATGTATCTGTTCAATATATTTTTATATCAGATGCATTAACTTGAATTTTTGGCCTTGTTGTTTACTTCTGCTTGACCAGGCCCAGTGGACACTGCAAAACTTTGCTCTAGTCTCTGCGAATTGTGAAAAGCAATTATAGACTCATTAGGATGCTCAGAGAGAAAGAGAGAGAGAGAGAGAGAGAGGAGAGAAGGAGAAGGAGGGAGAGAGAGAGAGACAGGTAACAGGCAGAAGAGAGAAGGAGAAACACAGAGAGAGAGAGAAACATGCAACAGGCAGAGAAGAGGAGGAGAGAAGGAGAGAGAGAGAGAGAGAGAGAGAGAGAAGAGAAGGAGAAAGAGAGAAAGACAAGAGAGAGAGAGACAGAGGAGAGAAGAAGAGGGAGAGCGATATAGAGAGGAGAGAGAGAGAGAGAGAGAGAGAGAAAGACAGAAGAGAGAAGGAGGGAGGGCGAGAGAGAGAAGAGTGAGAAGAGACACAAGAGAGAATGAGAGAGAGACAGACAGAGGAGGAAAGAAATGACGAGAGAGGAGAGAAGAGAAGGAGAGAAAGAAAGAGAAATAGAGAGTAAGTAAGTAAGAGTATCTTATGGAGTAAGTGTCAGGACTTAACATGAGATGAATAATTTGAAGTGAATGTAATGTAATAATGCACAATCTGGTCATTTCAAGGGACAGACACAAAAATGAGACAAATTAAATCACATATGAAGGAGCAGTGCAAGAAAAAACAAATGTTTTCAGATTGTCAACATAAAGCTTTTGTCACTTTCAGACTCACAGTGAGTACAGTAATCAAACTCAAGTAAGAGTACTGTTACTTCCATAAAATATTACTAAAGTAGGGAATAAATGTATGCTGCTAGAAAAGTACCCATAAAAGTGAAGTAAAGAAAATAATATATTTAAAAAGCTACTCAAGTAATTTTTTTGAGGAGGTAACAATGCTCTAAAATGGCTCAAAGCTCACAAGAGTCCATCTACCCTGTCCCTCTGCTGGTCCCACAGGTATCCTCTCCGTGCTGTCCCTGTCCAGTGAGAGCATGTCTCTGGCCTCACAGCTGCCCAAAGTGTCCTACGTCAAGGCCCTGGACATCTGGCTCATCACCTGCCTCATGTTCGGCTTCCTGTCCCTGGTGGAGTTCGCCGTGGTGCAGGTACATCATCAGGCATGTCCAAACTATGGCTCATGGGCCAAAGGCGGCCCTCAGACAATTTAGTGTTAAACATGCAAATATTTAAATTATTCACTGCACTGAGCACCAGTCTACTGCCCTCGATTAGCCCTGTGCTTTATCTGTGTTTAGATATGTGGCCCACGATGAACAGAGTTTGGACACATGCATACAGACAGACATTATAACTAACAAAAGCATGTGGTCTTTGAGAAATAGAGCATTATTTTGTGTGTGGAAATGTCCCAAACTGCACATATTTATGTAATTCAAATCCAGTGGTGGAAGTGATGACTGGAATGATCCACAGTACGACATGAACTCACCTTTTCTATTCAGGTGTTTCATCGCCATATAGAAATACCTTGACCGGTAACTTGAATGAATATGATGAATAGTTTGTCCTGTTACTTGTGTCTGGGAAGGTCATTCTGAACAGTCCCAAGCTCATTGAAGAGGAGAAGGCCAAAATGGCGACCAAAGAAAAGGCTCTGAAAGAAAAAGAGGGAAAGAAAAACAGCAAGAACACGGTGAACGGGACTGGAGGAACGCCCATCCACGTCAACACACTGCAGGTACGCTCCACACAAGCTCCTGTCTCATACACACACACACACACACACACACGTCAACACACTGCAGGTACGCTCCACACAAGCTCCTGTCTCATACACACACACACACACACACGTCAACACACTGCAGGTACGCTCCACACAAGCTCCTGTCTCATACACACACACACACACACACGTCAACACACTGCAGGTACGCTCCACACAAGCTCCTGTCTCATACACACACACACACACACACACACACACATGTCAACACACTGCAGGTACGCTCCACACAAGCTCCTGTCTCATACACACACACACACACACACACACACTGTCAACACACTGCAGGTACGCTCCACACAAGCTCCTGTCTCATACACACACACACACACACACACGTCAACACACTGCAGGTACGCTCCACACAAGCTCCTGTCTCATACACACACACACACACACACACACGTCAACACACTGCAGGTACGCTCCACACAAGCTCCTGTCTCATACACACACACACACACACACACACACACATGTCAACACACTGCAGGTACGCTCCACACAAGCTCCTGTCTCATACACACACACACACACACACACACATGTCAACACACTGCAGGTACGCTCCACACAAGCTCCTGTCTCATACACACACACACACACACACACACGTCAACACACTGCAGGTACGCTCCACACAAGCTCCTGTCTCATACACACACACACACACACACACATGTCAACACACTGCAGGTACGCTCCACACAAGCTCCTGTCTCATACACACACACACACACACACATGTCAACACACTGCAGGTACGCTCCACACAAGCTCCTGTCTCATACACACACACACACACACACGTCAACACACTGCAGGTACGCTCCACACAAGCTCCTGTCTCATACACACACACACACACACGTCAACACACTGCAGGTACGCTCCACACAAGCTCCTGTCTCATACACACACACACACACACACACACATGTCAACACACACACTGCAGGTACGCTCCACACAAGCTCCTGTCTCATACACACACACACACACACACACACACGTCAACACACTGCAGGTACGCTCCACACAAGCTCCTGTCTCATACACACACACACACACACACACACACACACACGTCAACACACTGCAGGTACGATCCACACACAAGCTCCTGTCTCATACACACACACACACACACACACACACACACACGTCAACACACTGCAGGTACGCTCCACACAAGCTCCTGTCTCATACACACACACACACACACACACACGTCAACAAAATGCAGGTACGCTCCACACAAGCTCCTGTCTCATACACACACACACACACACACGTCAACACACTGCAGGTACGCTCCACACAAGCTCCTGTCTCATACACACACACACACACACACACACACACACACACACGTCAACACACTGCAGGTACGCTCCACACAAGCTCCTGTCTCATACACACACACACACACACACGTCAACACACTGCAGGTACGCTCCACACAAGCTCCTGTCTCATACACACACACACACACACACACGTCAACACACTGCAGGTACGCTCCACACAAGCTCCTGTCTCATACACACACACACACACACACACACGTCAACACACTGCAGGTACGCTCCACACAAGCTCCTGTCTCATACACACACACACACACACGTCAACACACTGCAGGTACGCTCCACACAAGCTCCTGTCTCATACACACACACACACACACACACACACGTCAACACACTGCAGGTACGCTCCACACAAGCTCCTGTCTCATACACACACACACACACACACACGTCAACACACTGCAGGTACGCTCCACACAAGCTCCTGTCTCAGAACAACTCGGGGCATTCCTATGAAACCACTGGTACTCTGCTCTTTCTTCATACTTTTTTTATTTTATTTAATTTGCTACATACAACCAGTGTTGTGGAGTAACAGATTACATGTACTGGAGTTACGTAATCAGAGTACAAATTATGAGTAACTGTACTCAGTTACAGTTACTGTTTCAGTGAGTCGTAGTGGATTACAGTTACTTTGTTGAAATAAATGGATTACACGGTGGCATTTTCACATTTTCACATTTTGGGCTATATACCACTTTTTTTTTTTTTTTTTTTTTTTTTTTCAGTAATTCCACTCATTGCCAGAAACTAAACCAGGTCTAAACCAGGTCTAAACCAGGACTAAAACCAGGTCTAAACTAGTTCTAAACTAGATCTAAACCAGGTCTAAAACAGGTCTAAACCAGGTCTAAACCAGGACTAAACCAGGTCTAAAACCAGGTCTAAACCAGGACTAAACTAGATCTAAACCAGGTCTAAACCAGGACTAAACCAGGTCTAAAACCAGGTCTAAACCAGGTCTAAACCAGGACTAAACCAGGTCTAAAACCAGGTCTAAACCAGGTCTAAACCAGGACTAAACCAGGTCTAAACCAGGATTAAACTAGATCTAAACCAGGTCTAAAACAGGTCTAAACCAGGACTAAACCAGGTCTAAAACCAGGTCTAAACCAGGTCTAAACCAGGACTAAACTAGATCTAAACCAGGTCTAAAACAGGTCTAAACCAGGTCTAAACCAGGACTAAACCAGGTCTAAAACCAGGTCTAAACCAGGACTAAAATCAAATCTAAACTAGATCTAAAACAGGTCTAAACCATCCTAGTATTTGCTTCTCTACAGCAAATCAAGTAATCCAAAGTATTCAGATAACGTTATTCACTTTAAGTAATTTAATGGATTACATTACAAACTACCTTTTGGGGTATGTAATCTGTAATCTGTAGGGGATTACATTTTAAAAGTCACCTTCCCAACACTGGATACAACATGCACATAGACATTAGACAGGACTGGACAATACAATAAGTATAATACGGAACACTACAATACACATGCAGACACTCATGAATTGGTTTATTGCTGAAGAGTGCCTGATAGTGCCTGAGTTTTTGTCTATAGAGGGATTCAAAACAGTATTGAAATCTCCTTCTGTAATGAAAGGTGGAGAGAAGTTTTGAATCAGCGTGGAAAAATATGTATGGTAAAAATCCGGATCATCTTTTGGACCATAAACATTACAGATTATCAATAGATGGTTGTCAGTTAATATATTATTGGCAATTCTATGTGGTATTAATTGCTAATACATAACATATTTACATCACTATGTTATCTTTTGTTGCTTTTAAAAGGTTATTTTTAATGAAAAAGGATGGATAAAGAATGCTTGTGGGCTGAGCCTCGTACATAGGTGCGGGCTCGTATAGATAAGCGTGAGGAGGGTTAGATTATGCTGAGGAGAGATTGCAAAATGACATGCATGATGATGTATAAACGTTTCCCGGACATGTCAGTTTTTTGCTTCCTGTCCTGGGCGTCCTGTTTTTTTTTTTTTTTTTTTTTTTTTAAGTGATGGAAATGTCCGGGTTTTCATTTCCGTTCATTGGGTCATTAAACTGAGCGTCTCTCGTAGCTCTGTGATTCAGAAGGAGCGAGACACAAAGTCGGTCAATCTGCAACATGCTGAACGTGCCGAATGCACATTTAAGGATGACTTGTACAAGAAATTCTCCTTTTTCCATTCCAGTCGGGACAAGTGGGAGGACATGTGCACAGGTTGCGAGGTGAGAGTACAGTGTCCCTCGTTTATCATGGGAGTTACATTCTAAAATAACCCGTGATAGGTGAAATTCATAAAGTAGTCAACTTTATATTTCACAATTATTCTATCTGTTTTAAGGCTGTAAAAGCTCTCACCACACACTTTATACACTTTTCTCAGACAGGACAGGTGCAACACTTTTCACATTCTTCTTAAAACTTATTGCTGCTGTCGTCCTTTTGTTATTTTCCTCCTTCTATATGTAACAAACCAAAGATTCATTTATTCTGTAATGGAGCCTACAGCGCAGAGTCCTGCACGGGTCCATTTTTGAGACCCACACTCGCACAGTACAGCACCACACCCACCTGTTAACCTGAGATTATATCAAACTTTTGTGCTGCCTGTGTCATGGACTGAACCAAGACTAAACCAGGACTAACTTAGGACTGATTCCAGGACTGAAGAGGAGGACTAAACCAGGACTGAACTAGGACTAAACCAGGACTAAACCAGTACTGAAACAGGACTCACTGTCGGGACGGGCTCGGAGGTGACCGCAGGAGAAAGGACCAACCTGGTTCAGCACCTCACGGAGGTAAAAGCATCAATTGCCCGATCGCGCTTTGCAGACAAACTCGCTGTTCTCTCTCTTAAATCCAAGATTAGTCCTGGTTTAGACCTGGTTTAGTCCTGACCCACCCGTGTGTAATTACTACCTGCCTGTAATACGCAATACGCGTTCATACGCTGTAATAAAAAAAAAAAGCATACAAAATTGCACAAAAAAATAAATAAATAAAAAGTTGTGAAAAGGCGACACCGCAAAAGGTGAACCACGATATAGCGAGGGACGACTGTAGCTCCGTGTCAAGGCCCCACCTCCCACCCCCAGTAAGTGTCCAGGTTTTTACAAACGGAAATATGGTCACCCTAGTATAAACCCTCTTCAGACATGTTTTTGATTGAACATGGTAGAAAGCTCCAAAACACTGATATGCATAAAATAAAACCTCCTCTTTAAGTGAAAATCTCCCTCTCCAACAGAACAGCAATATTCACTTCATCTTCTCATCTTCACCACAACCAGTTCACAGGCTCCAGGGGGAGACACTACATTTTCCTTTAAAAAATCCACAATCTTCTTAGCTCAAAGAATGAATGTCTCTACCTTCTAAATTGAAATGATGTGACAAAAATTCCAGTACTCATACATCACCATCACCCTGTGTCAGTGTAGCTTTAACTTCCAAACAATACACGTTGTCTTAAGTCTTTTTATACGTGTGAGTTGGACTTGACTTGACAACTACAGAGTAAGAAAGTTTTTAGAAACATTCATGTAGTTCAGTCCATATGCGATGCAAAAGTCCTATTTATGTTTCATCTGGTCAGTAAATAATGCCTGTCAATTGATTATGTATTTTTGACAATAGAGTCTGTGAGTCTGTGTTTTCAGAAGCGTAATCTTAAATTTTGATTTTGTGACTGTAATTCTTGATGTCGTAACTTTTCAATTTGTAATCTGATGGATAAAATACACACAACACATTTTATATACAACTGGAACGTTTACGAATATTTATTTTATGCTCAACTACAGCTGGATATGCACAGATTTCCTAAATATGCATGGATTTCTATTCTATGCACACAAATATTTCTGAAAGCTTTCTTACTCCAGAGACTAAAACTAGACTAAAAACATTTACCTGGACACAGAATACACACTTCCTCTGTACATTCTAGAAATCTGAGTCTGGTCACCGGTAAACCTTACCAATTTCAGATGGGTGTGATTGACAGGTGGATTAGCCAATCATACAACTATTTGAATCTGACTGGTCGAAGCGTCACAACAGGTACAAGCCGAAAAATCCAACTTTTGTTACTTCTTTTGTTCCCTCTGCATGTTTTTCACAAATGAAATAGTCTGTATTACAGACAGAAACAGACTGAGATATCAATGTGGATAAAGCCCTTGAAAAGCTGTAAATTGTCTTTTGCCTCTGTGTTCTAGGTGGCGGAGAAGCCGTGTAAGAAAGTGTGTACGTCCAAGTCTGACCTGCGCTCCAACGACTTCAGCATCGTGGGCTCTTTACCGCGCGACTTTGAGCTCTCCAACTTTGACTGTTATGGCAAACCCATCGAAGTGGCAGGAGGCCTCAAGGCCCAGAAGAAAGCCAATAAGAAACCAGCCCCACCCAAACCGGTCATCCCCGCAGCAGCAAAACGCATCGACCTGTATGCACGCGCCCTCTTCCCCTTCTCCTTCCTCTTCTTCAACGTGGTCTACTGGTCCATCTATCTATGATGTACATGTGTGGCTCTGACCACACTTGTATGCTCCAGTGTCACATTGTACATTTGAGGACATAGGTTGGGTTCATGCTGTGGAGATGTTCACATTTCAGTTGGAGGGCAGGGCTGAGGGGAAATCTACTGAGGCATGATTTTGACTTCCACTGGTTTATGACATGATGGTTTTATGATAATGTTGTTGGAAATGGAAACAGTGTAGTTGATTAGTTCATGTATCAGGTACGTACAGTGCACACAAAACACTGTCTTTCCTTTGGTTACCACAAAATAGCTCATTTCCACCTGGAGTCGCTCGACTGACTGATGTAAAAAAATTAAATAAAGCAACAAGGCGATCCAAACAGTAAAACCCGTCGCACTCAAGAACATCCCTACCACTGAAGTATATGCAGGATTGGGGAGTTACAGATTACATGTACCAGAGTAATCAGAGTACAAATTATGAGTAACTGTATTCAGTTACAGGTACCGTTTCAATGAGTGGTAATTGGATTACAGTTACTTTGTTGAAATAAATGGATTACAGGGCGATATTTTCCTGTTTTCCCATTTTGGGCTAAACCAGGACTAAAACCAGGACTAAACCAGGATGAAAACCAGGTCTAAACTAGGACTAAACCAGGACTAAATCAGGACTAAACAATATGACACCTAACAGTAATTTAAGGCAGCAGTGATCTCATGTAAAAAGCATTTCTCTATAAATAATATTTTTAATACAGTTAAGGAAAGACTGGACTTTATTATTTATTTATTGTCTTTAAGCAGACAAAACTTCTCATGTTCAGATCCTCGTCTTTTCTTCTCTACAGTAAAACAAAAATCTGTTCATGGAGACAATTTGAAGAGAACAAACATGAATTTTCAGGATGTGGTTGGTACATTCATGTCGTTTTAAAAAACATAACAATATCAAGTAATCCAAAGTATTCAGATTACATTACTCACTTTAAGTAACTTCATGGATTATGTTACAAACAACATTTTGGGGTATGTAATCTGTAATCTGTAGGGGAATACATTTTAAAAGTCACCTTCCCAACACTGAGTATATGCATACATTCAACACAAATATGAAAATCCCAGCACAAAAAATGTCTATGGGGACAATATCGGACCTTATTGTCATTTTAGATCATTTAAAGCACCCGCATCTAGAATATGATGTCATGATCTGTAGGGAGGGGCAGAGGTGGGGACTTGCAAGTTGTGACTTAGACTCGAGTCAGACTTGAGTCAAAGATTTTAGGACTTGAGACTTTACTTGATAAAATAGACCAAGACTTGGGACTTGATCTTGGTCAGTGACTTTGGACTTGACTTGAGAAGACTCAATGCCTCTGCGAAAAAAATATATGTTTTTAGAAAATACTTTTCTCTTTACAGTCGGTACATGTGGTGCTGAATTTTACAGGAACAAACTGGAACATGTCCCTCCCACTTCTCTGTTTGGTACTTTGGATGTAACTGAAGTACTGTGAGATGGTATCCTCAAATGTACTACAGTAATATACAGTAAAACAAAGGGAACTACAAAGAACATGATCCTTCCATTTCAGTGCAGATTACAAGACAAAATAACTGTATTTTAAAATCTTAATTCTTTCTGTTCTGAAATGATTCACACTCTCTTGTCAAGGCATTTAAAAATGTGCATTTTTACAACTATATAAATACTTACATATACATATAGCATGACTTTTGAGGTACAATTTATTCTAAAAGTCACATAAATTGCAAAAATCTAACCTATATTTGGTATTTTGGTTTAAAGACTTAAATAACTTAAAGCAGACAACTTGAACTGGACTTGGATTTATGGGCCAGTGACTAGGGACTCGACTTGGACTTGCCTGTCTTTGACTTGGGACTTGACTCAGACTTGAGGTCACAGACTTGAGACTTACCTGAGACTTGCATAGCAATGACTTGGGCCCACCTCTGGGGAGGGGTGTATAGAACTCTAGGGGAGATTTGTTGTTTTTGATAGAAATCTCATGATCCACGAACCTTATCCTTATTTGTTTGGGATCAACTCCACAAACTTGTGATATTAATCTTATGGTTTAAAGACCTTTCAACTGACAACAGTGGGCATGCTTGCACTTTCTGAAGCGACTGTGAAAAAATCATTTACCATTTATTTATTTATACTGACAGAGAAAATGATAAACTGTGTGACAGTTTTTGTTTCATGTGAATAGGCCCAGTGATTACAGAGAGAAGAACCACAAACCAGGTCAACACAGCTGCATCTGACAGTGCCACAGCAAACTCCACCTGAGAACTCTGCCCTGTCTCCAGGTCTCTACTTAGCTCTACGGGGATTCTAGAATGCTGAGAAATGCTGAAATCAGAACCCAACCTATTCTAGCTATGAACTATAAGCA